TAAACCTGTGAAGCACACCTTGACACACCTTGATAGTCTTCAGCTCGACAAATAACCCTTCCTTACCTGCTCTGAAGACACAGCAGGTCTGCTAGATGTTCCCTTGTCATGGTCCACTGGGACGAGCTGGCATCTTTACTGATCAGATGTGCACTGATACACGAGGAGGAAAGCCTTTGGAATGTGAAATGCAAGTTAGGACCGACTATCTCTGCTTTTCCCCCTTCTCTTCTGGCCAAGGAGAACAGAGCGTTCAGTGCACTATCATGTACATCACCCCATGCAAGGGGGGGAAAGAAAGCCAGTGAGAACAAGGGGTGCTGAGCAGCATCCCTCTACCTGGCTAGGGGCAACAGTGGGGCAGTCAGTGTTCTGCTAATGGGAAACTTGGCTACCTGTAATTAACCTTCATCGAAAGCGCATTAATTGCTCTGAAGGAAGGTGAAAAACTGTGAGAAGTGTTCATGCCCTGTGGAACTATGGGAATATTTCAGTCATACTGGAGTTGTATTTGAAGCACTGTTAAAATCTTGGGGTTTGGGGGGTTGTTTGGTTGTTGTTGGGGTCTTTTTTTCTGTTTCTTTTAAGTGACCGATTTTTAAGCATTTACTACACAATGCTGTTAAAGCCAGAACCTAGGAATCCAAATGGGCAGCTCCTTATGGAAGAGAGGATCCTCAACCAGGAGGAATTCAGCTGTAAAGTAACCATGGGATTTGGCATGTAGGATTTTTCAGTGTAAAACTGATCACCTCCTGCTCCCATGGTGTTGCTCCTCTCTGCCCAGTCCTGCACTGAAACCTGTAGCCTGGGGAAAAGGAAAACCTGACATCTAGAGCAAGGAGAAGAAGAGGAAGAGAAGTATTAGGAAAACATGCTAGACTGTGGAAGCAGGAGACAGCAGCTACTGCCCAAGCCATCCATTCTGTGGCCATCACCCGAGGTCATCCCAAAACATCCCAGCAGAGCACATGAAGCCATCAACCGGTTGAATGCTCCCTGATGAAGGCATTTTGTGTGTTTGTTGGGAGGTTTGGTACCACACAACATTTGTAAAGGTCAGTGTTGCCAGTGTAGCAGAATCACACATCAACAGTGATTTAGTAATCAGCATTCAGTGGCTCTTCTTTCCTGCCCTGCTGTGGGAGTTGGGTGTCTGATTTCAGAGCCCATATAAGATATGGAGCCACTGTGAATTATTAAAGCCTAGTGTCACGTAGGGTATGAACACCAGTTACCTTTAGCCATCCTTCAGGTTCTTTTTATCTCCATGAGTTTAAAAGGTTTCTACTGTGATACAGAGAGGGCCAGCTTACAGTCATTGAAGAAGTGCTGTAAATAACCTTGGGTCCACATACCAAACCAGTAAAAGCTTGGCTACTTACCATCATGCTGAGAACAGGAGTGAAAATGGAGCAATGAAAGAGAAGGTTCCAATCAGCCTGTGGTTCCTTCATCTGGAGATCTGCAAGACTGCTCTCTGCACAGCACTGATCTGTTGTTCTACCCCAATGAGTTTATATGTGGGGTTTTGTTTTTCATTCAAAGCTAATATAAAGACCTGTGCAAGCTCCTATGATACATGTGTGCAACTTAAGGAGTTACTTGTCAGTATTTTCCTTTGGGATAAATCTTGAAAGACAGAGATACAGAAGCATCTTGGAGGGTTATCACTCGTGCCTGTGCTGCTTTGCTCCCGATGCTCTATTTCATGTGTTAGGGACTGGGTTGGCATGAGAAAATTCAGCCTGGAAAATCTGGCAGATCATAATGACTGTATTTGAGATGCTGTGCAGAGAATATGTGCCCTGTTCCCAGTGAGGTGCTGGGAGGAGGATAAGGGTGGAATCACAGATGGGGATGGTGGAACAGTCAACCAGTCTGGGTCTTGGTGACCAGTTCTCTACTCTTGATGCCCAAAGCATCAGACACCTCTGTAATCGAAGAGCCCCACCAAAGCAAAAGAAGAAATTGAAAAATATCACAGGTTGGAAAGGAGGAAAATAACTGCTTTTTAAGCTTAAAAACTGTTTTACGCAGGAAGCACCGCTAGCCTTCTGCACTGCAGCCACTTAGAATCATAGAATAGTTAGGGCTGGAAAGGACCTTAAGATCATCAAGTTCCAACTTGTGCAAGAACTGGTCTAAAGAAAGGTTTGCAGATCTTGGTTAAGGAAGATCTTCGTTCATGTTTCGTCAGATAAATTTGGCTGTTAATCTGAACGTGAGAGATCTGCTGTTAGCTACCAGATGGAACCCAGTTGCTAGCACAAGGGGTAAGAACTCCTTCTGCGTAAGGTGGTCTCTCACTTCCTCATGGAACCCAACAGACCTGCTGAAGTGGCTCCTGGCCTTTTCGAGGCCACTGGTGTATTTGACAGAGGTTTTTAAATGGGTGTTTCATATTGTGTGTAAAGCAGCAGAAGGAAAGCGATAGAAAGTGTTCATCCCAGGTTGTTTTCCTTCTCTGCTCCAGAGAATTCACCTCAGATCTAGAGGACTGTAGCAGCTAAGCACAGCAGCCCGAGAGTAAACGGCAGCAATGGTGTAAGTACACCTTGCTGTTCATCCTGTGCTTGCCCAAAAAAGCATTCATCAGCTGGCTGGGTCACACTTCTGCTGTACCAGGCAGCACCACAGCCAAACACTTCGGTAAGTACAGCGAGACCACAGGCTTAATCTCATTACAGGTTTGAGGTAGAGCCATACAGGCCAAATGACCAAGTGGTATTGCCTTAATAAACCTCACCTCATGGCCACCATCTTTACACACACACACACACTCACCCTCGCTCAGAAGTTCTTTTGACCCAACATATAAACCAGTATGTCTGGCTGTTGTCATCTGGTGCACGTTTCCCATTACACACAGTCTGGGACTAGCCTGTGTAGCAACTCTGGTGAGCTTCTCGTGGCCACTTCTTCGAAGCATTTGGGAACACAGTACATTTAAGAGCAAGTGTTACCTTGCATTCTATAGTCTATGCCTAGGATTGAGGCTATACAAACCCACAGATGAACTGTCAGGTTTGGCTAAACTCATCATTTAAATATTCCCCTCAATACAATCCCAAGTCATTGTATCATACTGTAGACCAGCATAAAGTAACAGTAAGCTTTGTTACTTAGGTTGACTTACGTTGCAAAACTTCAGTATTTGATCAGTGCTGTCACTATGCATGTGATCTGTGATCTAGAACTAGAGAAAATAGAAAAATGACTATAGAAAGTATGGATCTATTTAACTAGCTGTGTTTAGAAACACAGTATGAGTTACACAGGCTATTTCAGTTCATGAACAGAATCAGGAGCTTGTAAAAATGGAGTTCCTGAATCCCTTCACGACAAAGCAGACACGGTTTCCATCGCTGAGCACAACACAAGGATGAAGTTACCAGAATACTGTTAACACAGAGATCTCTGACCAATAGGTCTGTTAAAAAATAGTAATACTACAAAAAAATACACAAATGAGGAAATAAATACAAATTATCTGCCCCAATTCAGGGCTGACAATAAAATTCCTCCCTGTGAGGGTGCTGAGGCGCTGGCACAGGCTGCCCAGAGAAGCTGTGGCTGCCCCATCCCTGGCAGTGTTCAAGGCCAGGTTGGACACAGGGGCTTGGAGCAACCTGCTCTAGTGGAAGGTGCCCCTGCCCATGGCAGGGGGTTGGAACTGGGTGAGCTTTAGGGTCCCTCCCAACCCAAACCTTACTATGATTATTCACCCATTACATACATGTGCTGGTATGTCCAATACAGCAAGAATTACTGCTGTCACCTGTTCTTCCAACAGACTGAATCACATCAGTCAGCATAAAAGCACAAAACACACCACACAATACCTCACTGTTGCCACTTGGAGCTTTACATGGGCTCGTGACAAACAGGACCGTCAGGTTGTTAGGTCTGACTGCTCAAAAAAACCAGTCTCCAAGGTACAGATTAAGATGCTTCTTTCCGGCTTGCAGGCAACATGTTTGTTGAACTGCTCCCCAGCTGCTTTGCTAACTTCCTGACCCATGGCAATTATTGGCCACAAATCCCATAACCTGGCAAGAAGCAGCCACCTCTTCTTTCTCCCTTCCCATTATTGTAACTCCCCGAGCCTGAATGCCTCTGCAACCAGCCCTGTGGCCATTTCCCATGCTTTTGCATCCGGTTGCCTATTTCTGCACACAACTCATTAATTTTGAAAGAACAAAAACAAAATTAAGAATACCAAGAGCTCTCCACATTGAGACTTTGGCATTTTGGTTTACAGAGAACAATTTTCTTAATGTCCCCTAATTGGTCTGGATCACCCATAAATCCCAGTAACATCATCAGAATTGGAATGTTAACTTCAGTGTTTCAGATTCTCTGCTTTCATTTTACTGAGAGTGAAAACTCTGCAATTTGTGAATAAAACAATGGATAAGAAGTATTGAGCAATAACCACCGAGAACTTGTTTTGTCACCCATTTCTCCTCATTTATTCTACCAAGCTCTTGAAATAGCCAGATGTGTGCGTTTCTTTTAATTACTTGATAATAGTTCCTGGCACTGACATTGAGAAGTAGTTAGCAAAATGACATTTCATACCCTAACCATCTTAAAATGCTGACAAACTTTTGGTGGCTCTCCCTGACAATCAGGATGATCTTTGCTGCAAGGGCTTTGTAGTCCTACTCCTTTTGCTGTGCCAATACTGACATTCAACCAGCCACATGGCACATTATTTCAGAGGGCAAAACCTGCCAGAAATCTAAACAAAGTCAATCGTGTTTCTCAAACCATCTCACCATGACCCCAGCGAGTGCCAAAGCTGGCACAAGAGGAAGCTGGAAGACCCACTCTGCTTTGCCACCCTGTGTAACCACAGGCAAATTCTCAGGGAAGACAAGACTCCCAAGAAGACAGGCAAATGCTGACTTTATTATCCACACAGCATTATCAAGTTTTGTTTAACCTGTATCCTATGGTGACAACATGCAGAACAAAAGACAAGAAACCATATCTCAGTGGAATTAGCTTTTATTGAAGAGGGGAAAAAAGGTTTATGTGTAGTTGTAGGTTCTTCCATCCATACTTTCAAAATGGACTGGAAACAAAACTTGCTTAATCTTTACTGCAATACCAAAATATTGGTGGGTTTTATTGTTACCCTTTTAAATAAACAGCAAATTATATAACTAATTGCCATGTTCAATAAATATTTTCTCTCCTGTACCAATTAAGGGGAAATATTCAACCTAGTACAATTAAACCCCTGATTTTTAGTTTTAACTTCAAATATTATCCACTGTGTAGCAATTCAGAAACTTTGTCTATAAAACAGAGACTCAATTTTGAGTGTACAAGGTTCTCCTTTTCCCAGTCAGTCAAATACCAAATTTTACTCTAGCTCAAATAATCTACACTCAAAGCAACTACCTGACAAATAAAGAACAACGAAACAACACAAAACAAAACCAAGTCCTCTGGTTCATGACTATCTAAGTAAATCTGTCATTACAGAAAAGGCTCAAAGTCGTTACTTGTTTATCAAAGTAATAGGTAAACATTTTAACAGAAACATTAACGAGTTACTTGGAAATGCAGGTTTCGATTAAAGTATCTGAGTGTGTATACTACATATGACATGCAAGCTTTAAAAATACCAACGCTCTCTTCTGATTAGTCAGGAGTCCAATTGTTTTAAAAACAAAATAGGAATGACTTCCAAAATGTATGAGCACTTTGGGGTCTCTAATTCATTTTCCTTAAGATGCTTTACTACACAAAAACTACAACAATTACAATATTTAAGAGTATTACAATAAGAAGGGATGGAAAACAGGAATACTTCAACTGAAATATGTATATTCTAAATGAACCAAAGATTTGTAAAAGAGCTGGATGGAGGACAAGGAAGGGAGGATGGGAGGGAAAGCAGTAGGGAAGCCAAGATGTGAACTTTGTATTTAAAAATCACGTCCTCAACTGTAACTTCTGATCATCAGTAACGCCCTGCAAAAACAAAACAAAAGACAACACCAGTTACTACACACGAACTGAACCCACATCATCTCAGCTTTCTTGCTTTCACATTCAGAATTCCAACTGATCACTTAATACTAGTAACAACAAGGTTCAAGCCAGCCAGATTGTATTTATGCACATGTATTTACTTACTTGGACTATAGGAACGGGACCTTGATCGTGATCGGTATCGGCTATAATAAGGCGATGGTGATCGTCTCCTTTAAAGGAAATGAAAAAGAAACCCAACAACATCCATTATGAAAGAAGCCTTATTCACATCACTTCTACAGAACACAACCATTTTCTCAGCACTGAAATACTTGGCCTGCATGAATGATTTCAGCTTTATTTGGCTGTGGCTTAGTTATTTAACAAATGCTTTTATATTTCTCTATTTGATGTGTTTAAAACTGTTAGATACTCCCAGACAAAGAATTTATTAAACTCTCACTAGCCCTGTGAACACATGAAGTGCTTCTCCAGATGCCTTCAATTCTTGTTGAACAACATTCTCTGAAACTAGATAACTTTCAAAACAGTGAGATGGTTATGAAATGTCAAGCATTAAAAGTCCCATCTACAAATAACCCCTTTTGAAACAGCACTGTGTATCAGCTGTCCCTGGTTCTATATACAGCATGGAAAAATTACTTTCCTTTCTATCTGTCCACTAGATTTACAGGGCACATGCTCTACCTCCTTCAGGTAGCAAAATTAACCTCTTGCCCAACTGTTCACTATACAACTGAATTAACATAAAAACTGGAGATTACGATCACTTATTAATCCCACAAAGCCTAATGCAATGAGGCTCTAACACACAACAAGCACACATACAGAATCTTGCTATGAATGGAGTGACAGTTTTGTCACCTAACTTTTCAGGTTTTCCAACAAATCCACTGTTTGTACAGAAATCAAATAAAGGCTAGGTACCTGTATCTGTAGTCATATTCCTCATATCTGTCATATCCTCTGTCATACCCCCTATCATAATATGAGTCACGGCGACGACCGGCTCCACCGCCACCACCTCCTCCACTACTATTCAGGAAAAACCAAAAAACACAAAATCATCACTTTATACATCTACTCTTCAGCTTGATTAAAATGATTTAAAAGCTTTTTTAAATTGTTCTTGTAAATCAAGACACTTAAGATTATGTCACGCCAAAACAATCTCAGAATGAAACACTGACAGAAAAACACCTTCAAAAATAAAAAAGCCAAACAAAAATACCAAACAGAAACCCCACCAGGGATTTGAGCCTAATTCCCAGAATAACCAATTTCAGTAAGCTAAGGCCACATTAACTGACTGTGCTGCATATGTGTTGTTTAAAAATAACTCATTTTTTTATAAATAGAGGCAATAAATTACAGTAGAATTTAATAGTATACCTGAACCACAGTAAGGAGTTCTTTCCATTAATAACTTTGTAATAAGATACAACTAGCAAAACTCTAAAATTTCAAAAAATATCTGTAATTCTGTTTCTTCAACCAGACTCCAAGCATTCAATTTAAATCCATTTTAGTCCCATTACAGGAAATGAGTGAATCCTTACTGTGTTGGCCTGCCCATGTAGATCCCCGGGGTGGGTGTATGTGCTCTTTTGGTGATTGAGTAATCCACCCGAATCCTCCTGCCATCCAGCTCCATACCGTTTGCATGCTCCATTGCCTGCAGGAGACACAAGGAACAGGGGCATGAAACCTGCAACCTACTGGTAACTGTGGAAGGCTATGTATAGAACACATTATTTTCCATCAGAAAAGCAAGTCCTGCACGTGTTTTATTTTGACTGGTTACTAGTGCCCCACTGTGGTGAATGGCTCATCTCTGTCCCCTGGCCCGTTTGCCATGCTACAGGACCACACTGGGGTGGCGGACTAACGTGATACACAATCCTTTAAGAGAGCACAGTGCTAACCACTAACACAGTCACTTTCCCTAGACTTTGTCTTGCACCCATCAGAAAGGTAGAGCTGAAAATCAAAACATCTTTTTTTCTGAAAACTGCATCTTTCCTCCCGCCGTCTCTGACCCAGAGGGGACGGGCGGATTCAAAAGCTGTGCAAAACAGTGGCTTCCTGTAGGGTGCATATGGCCGGATTACTGCTAGTCGGCTGCCATTTCATGCTCTCCCAGCCTCCTGCCATCTCCCTTACAAGGACCTACTCCAGCAGAGCTTAGTAAAATGGCGGGTTCAGCCTACATGGATACCTAATTACAACCTTCCTCCCCACTCACTCTGACAATAGCAGCTCGCTAAAGCGATACACAGAAGGGGCTGCGCTTGAGAAGCCTGTGCCTTCAGAGCCGCCTGCAGCCCCTGCACATACTCACTGGGTGTTCTAGCCCCTGCTTCTACTCTTTGAGAATCAATACAATGGCCTTTCACAAACTCAAAATCCTGAAATTAGTTTTTCAAGGGAGCACAGTGTACTTTTGCAAATTATATTCAGGCAACAATCACTTTACAAAAAAACCCAGACCAAGCCCACAGCCGTAAGAATTTGACAAAGAGTTAACGCTGGACTTAAAAAATATAAAACTTTGCAAAACAACTTTTTTTTTTTTAATCCTTTCATGAGCTGCTCTGGGATCTCTGAAATACCAGCACACACCTCTTCATGTCACTAAGCACAGCACTCTGCCCAACATACACTATTCGTATTTTCCATGTGTGGAGTGTTACAATCTTGAGTTAAGGAACACAAGCACTTTGCTATTATTTAACTGTGAGGAGCCACACACAACCTCAAAATGAGAGGGTGCCTCTTTACTTAAGTAGAGCTTTTCTTTTTGTTTTTTTAATTACATAATGAAGCAAACAACTATTTGGAAATTTACCTTTTTGCTGCTAACAAGGACTTACTGAATTAACACACAACTCAGAGGAGGAAACAAAAATACGACACTCACATGATTTAACTGTGATGCCCCCAAACTAGAAGTGACTGAATTATCACTAACCTATTTAACTACACTTAGTTTGGTGTTAGTAGTGTTGTTTATATCTGTACTACATCGCCACCTAGTGAGTTCTATTCCCGCACAAAAATAAACCAACTACTTTTGGCTAACTGCAAGGCAGAGCCAAAGAGGATATAAAGTCTTTCAGCACACACTGAAGTATGTTTCTCGAACAGAACGGGAACATTAACTTTAGTTTCGCAGCCCTGAGACTTTTTTTAAGTCCTGTTTCACAAGGATGATCTAAACTAAACTAAACTAAATTTTTGCACAGATCCTAGGAATCTATGTGCACACAAACCTAAAAATGAAAACTGCAAATAGCTGGTTGAGAAATTAGCTTCATGATGAAAAGCATCTTTCTGGAAATGCAGCAACATGCAATTTTGAAAGCTAAGGACACTTCTGCTACATGGCATTTTTATATCTCATCAGCAACTTGCAGAATAATAAGCTTAACTAACAAGAAGCCACCTCAAATCCAGAATATCTGGCACATCATTTAGTTAAAAGAATAAACACCTTTTTAAGAGGAAGAGTTTTTTGACATAAGGATGATACAGAGAACAGCCAACATAACAGCAAGACAGATGAAGAGCTGGTTTTGAAGCTTGCTTCTTTTGAAAGTACCAAGTACGTGTAACATTTCAGTGGATGAAGATCAGTTCATAGTTACCAGTCCGCACGAAACCCACACACCCTGGTCACAAAATCTAATTACCTACTCAGTATTAAAACTTTTCTTAGCTTTCAACAGCTGCCATCAACAACTGCCAACAAAAGAAATAAATAAAAATAATCAAAGTATTTATTAAATATACAGACATAACAAAGCCTTTTACAAGTTTCGACTGTATTCCCCGAGTGCAGAAAAGCCAAAAGCCACACAGACATTATGAAGCTAACAACAATTGATAGTATGTATCACAGTCAGTAACTGGAAATTCCTCCCAAGGAGGTTTTTAAATTCTCCGCATTATTCTTAATGCACACACCAGGGGTTTTTGAAACAAAGTATTTACATTGTTGGCTAAGGACTGCTACAATAGGACCAAAAGCCCTATTTGAAAACCTTGTTTCAGCCAAGTGATACAACAGTAGTTATTTTCTACAAAGGCCGTAAAACCATTTGTGCTTCCAATTTCTGAAACTTTTGTGTTTTCTGTTAAAGTTAGAACAGCTCATAATCAAATTTTGGATTTAAAATTTCATTAGACCAGAATGCAATAGTCAAAACAAATTTCAGTTTGCTTTTCTTACTAGTTTTGGGTATGCACAAATGCTGTGTTAAGAACATGTAAATGTCCAAGGGAAAAAAATTGCACACTTGCTCTAACACTGCAGAAGACATTCTCAAATACTGTTTAAGAGACAGAAGTGTATTTTCCAGATCATCACATGAAACATTTTAAACAGAAAAACAAAAAGTTCAAAGGGGTTTGAGACACACAATACCCTCTTAGAAGCCTTCAACTCAACAGTCCACTTTTATTTCAACCTGGATTTTCTTCCAAATATGCAAATGTTGTTAGAAGACTTGCACAGCTTCTTCACAGTGATGGTAAGCAAGCAAACAGGATTTCTATAAACATGTACTGCTAGGTTTGGTTGCAAAGCCTAAGGAAAAAATGACTTTGTAGGCCAGAATACGCATCAATACGTGGTTGCAGTCAGAAAACAAGAGAATGAGATTGGGAATGGCAGAGGTAGTAATTCAGCCTTAGAGTACAGTTTTAAACCTTCAGCAGGCTATCTATAATAACAAAACTCCTTCGAGTGATAATGCGTAAAGTGCTAGTTTGACAAAATGAGCAGTTCCCAAACTACAGGATCACAGCCTTCAGTGGCTCTAACAGATAGAAAGCAAGCATTAAATCTAACAGATTTGTATTTCATTTTATATTTATTACATGTGGTGCTTTCTACATGTATTAGCAATTAGGTAGCACAAAGCAAGCTTGGAAACACAGAACTTTTCATATATGCACAAATTTGCAGAGGTGACTGGTACTTAAGCAATCAAGAGTTCACTGAAAAAGACGAAATAATCTTTCAGCCTGGATTATGCCAGTAAGAGCAGCTTGGACAGGGACAATGTGGGAAATTTCTGCAACCTGCACTGTGATCACTGGGGGAAAGGGTGTGGGGAGGAACAGGGGAGAGGAGACTTGGCAGTGGCAGAGCTGATGTCACAGTCACTTGACATTTCTACTATGGAGTTCAAGATACCACTGGTATCATACAAGAGATCATAGAGTCTATTATTTCAAGTGAGTAACTGCTCTGAGTTACTTCAATAGCGTGGCATCACCACAACATTAGTGATGCACAGACTGAATACAACCAAAGAGTCAAGCACGAGCAATATATGTTGGGACTACTGTGAAAATGTATTTTAATGATTTGAAAGACATAAGATACTGCCTTATTCCATTTGCTGATTTTGGAGAGGGTTCTGACTTGTTTTCTACTCAAGTCCTTCCCATATTGAATGTAATGCTACCCATGAAAACATCATCTCCACTGTATCACAGGTGCAGCATGGGACACACAGGCACAACAGATTAGCCCTTCACACCACAGTATACTGGTATCACCAGTTCAAGTCTGGATTTTAATGAGGACATCTGAAAGGACCCTATGGAAAAAAAACCAACCCAAACTGATGGGATGAAAAAACAAACTATGAAACCCTTTTTTTTCCCCCACTTACTGTGATCTGCTAAGCTGATTTCAAGTGTTCATGTCACTTTTGAACAACAGTCAATTCATATTCTCTAAGGCTTTGGGGGTTTTAAACCATTATCAGAATACTGACAATGATAATATTTTAAAATATAATTTTCTGAGCTTAAACACCTATTGAGTGAATGTATACTCTTTAAAGTGTACTTTAAAGAGTTGCAGAGTCAAGAAATACAGAATTTTAGAGAACCAGAATGAGTAACTGGGTATGTTTCTGCAAGCATTAATGATTTCATGGTATTTCAGAGTCTCCACAAGTCTGCAACTTGTAATTCCAAACATTTGAGACATTCTTGTGTCTTTTTCTGGTATACTAAGGTCCCTTTTGATACCACAAACAGTACTTAAAGCATTTCTTCAACAAGCTATGGAAGAAGTTTTGGCCAATAATGGTGCTTCTAAGATGGTCTGCTTGCACCACAGATTAAATGTCTTACAAATTAAAATGATAAACCCTGTTATTCTGGTCTCTGGTAACTGCATTATGCTAATAGTTCAGTTTGTCTAGATAAAGTTTGTACTGATTGCTAATGAACACTACTTCAGAAAACGGTTCTGGAAGGTGGTCAGAACTGCAAATAGCATGTAACTAGCATAAGAAATCAGAAAACACCATGTTGCCAACAGCTGCCGTAGCTAATGGTTGTCAGATGAATTCTTGCTACAGATATATAGTACATTCACAGTATTCTCAAAAAACAATACCTCATTTTCTGAGTTACTAAAAAGCTGGATAGTGGTGTATTAAATCCCTAATAACTGTAATACGAATCATCTCCCTAGAACTGCCAGCACTTTTTACTCATCATTCTCAATTTATGGTTAACCCAAGATAATCAATCCCCTTCCACCAACCTTCCCACCACTACTTCTAATATATAAAAGCTTGGGTTCCTCTAAACACAGAAAGAAAATCCTGATGTGATAATCAGGTGAATATCCTCTATAATTTAGTGTAAATATTGCAAAATGACAATATTATAACACTGGCTCAGTGCCAGCATCGACAATACTTAGAACTATGTAAGAATGCCAATTTTGAGAAACAGGTCTTGAACAGATGTTTACAGATCTTGACCTTTGCATAATGTTGCACATGTGGCTCTAAAGACTGAGCAGAAGGATGGCCAACATAAGACAAGACACTGCAACACACAAGACAAAAAAGCAGTACCAACTATTACTTAGAAAAGGTTTAGGGTTTTGGGTTTTTTTTTATAAAGTAAACCAACATAACTTTACAAAAACCAAAAAGCACTACACACACAAGAAAGAATACCCCTTCTCCTAGAAAAGGGTAGTTAACAACGTAAGTTTTTTAAATAGCTTTTGAACTAGCACAGCAGAATGAACATTACCACAGCAAACCCTCAGGGTTTCCGGACAATCATCTATCAATCCTCAACATCTGTGAGCATCTTCCTTATGGGTCAGAACATAAACAATCAGCTAAGTACTATGTTGCAAAAACCAGGCCATTGCAGAAAGGCATTTGATGGAAAAGAAACCTTCAGCCAGACCATACAGTTTCATCACAGTAGTAGAGCTTCAGAGTAGAAGAAATTCCACAAGAAATCTCCTTTACAATGGACACATGCATCCAACATTTCTTTCCCACTCCTGTTAAGGTGGAATCACTGAGGGTACTGTGATGCTCTGACAGCTGCTCAACTAGTAGTTCTGAAAAAGTAATAAATCTCTGCTCCTCTTTATAACTAAGATGATCATAAACAGTTAACAACTAGGCTGCTAATCAAACTGAAGTTCTGAAAGTCTAAACCAGCTTAAGTCAAAATAAACTTTACTGTTGCCCCTTTGTTACTTTTAGGATACAGCAAAGTACTTTTAAGAAATGCTATCTTACATGGCCCTGAGGGACCTCAGCTGTGATAGAAACCACTCAGTACTGCTACTGAACTTTCATATTAAGTGTTTGAGAGCATGTCAACTTATAGGTGTCCCATTTTACCTCTCCTGGAAGGACAATAGTAGAGATAATGGGAAATCCTTATCTCTCTGTAGAGTTCTACATACATATAATTCGTCTATGACTGCTTTACGAAGGCTGAAACATACTTCTAACATCTCAAGTTTTATATTCTCTTTGTTCAGATGCTCAGGGTGTTGGAGGTTTGGGGTTTTGGTTTAGGGCTTTTTTAAGAGAAAAGGTATTTACTCAGAACAACAGTAATTCAAGTGTCATTGTTTTTATGCATATTCAACTTTTCAGATCTGATCTACCTTCCACACAGAGAATTACTTCATGTCCTTCAAGTGTTCTCCTACAGGACGTGCCACAGAGTTTCATGCCTGTAGCTATATTCCCTTTTTCTACACTAGCTGCCATTCAATGCCATCGTTAAATTCATCTTCAAGGTCCATGAAATAAGTCAAACAAACAAGTTCTTCTCCCACTGTTTTTGCCAAAGTACTTCAGTTATGCATATTCCAAGCGTTGGGAAGTTTTGCACCCTTTCCCCCTTTTCACGCACTAGCCCATTGGAGAGAAAAAACAAAAGGGTTTAATTACATTCTCAATTATTTCAGTTCCTGTTCAACATGCTCATCTTTATTTCCGTATTTTTGACTGTACATAATATCCTATTTTTTCTCTCTGCATTCCAGTTTTGCCGTATCTGCCAAAAGAGCTTTATACTAAAATAAATTACTTCATGCTATTTACACGGAACATTTTAAGAAATGCATGGTGTCATGCATGACCATTGTCCATGGCAACAAGGAAAAAAAACCCTACTTCTGAAGATATATGAAGCTGTAAAACAGACAAGACTGGCACACGGATGTGACAAGAAATATTGTGCAAGTATTTTGTACATTAAATGTTCTACGAAACAGTTTCAAAATCCTGCTGAGCTCAGAGTGCAAAGAAATACAAAGCTGAAAGTAGAAGACAGAAGGCCACAAAAGATGGAATATACAGCTATCCACCCTATTAACTCCCCTCTCTACCTGTGCGAGTGATAGTGGGGAAAATACAGAAGGGACACTAAAGGAAGTTTTGTGTTCTTTTACTTACCCCTAACAACCTGCAACAACCACACATATACAAACCCTACTCTTCCCATAAACTGATTCTCTGTGTATATCATAAATCAATCAAAGATGAGAACTGATTCTAGTTAAACCAATTCATCCACAAAGCTATTTTCATTAAAATATCATCAGCTACCATCAGTTTTCATTTTTCAGCTACTGACAGTAGGTTCCACAGCTGTTACCCTCCCTCCCTTCAATGCTAAGTGAGAAATCACATCCAAACATTATGAATACACTTGACAAATGTAAACAGAATCACAGATAATCTGAAACATGTGCCCAAGAATACTAATCCATAAACAAGATGCTTGAAGTCTGTGACTCAGTTTGCCCAAAATAAACAGATAATCCCACACTGAAAGCCTAAAGAAAAAAGCCCAACTTTTGAAAAAAGATTTTTTTTTCAGAAAATTACTTTAGTTTTAATAGCAATTTCAACTACAAATTTCAGTAAATGTAGTAAAGCTCACAGTATCCTTCCTCTCACAGATAAAGTACTGCTTACTGTCATAAACTATAATACAAGCTGCTGTTCATATGTTTCGATTCTTTCCTTACAGATCTATTATACTAACAACAACTCAGTCCAACTGTAAATAGCTATCTCCATAACCAGCAGACACTGACCAAGGCAGAAATTGAGACAAACCACATTGTTTTTCAAATGCATGATGATGTGCTTTTAAAGAAGAAAATGTAAAGCAAAGAGAACCTTCAGAACTTTGGTAGACAGAGAAAACTATTCTGAAAAATTAACTTTCAAAATATTTCAAAAATACTAAGAGGTTTCTAGGTCTAAAGACTTATTTTCATTTTGAAGTAAGAGACTAAAATCAATACACAATGTGCATTAGTGATTCAATGCAGCTCATGCTCAATATTTACCCAAGCATCAGAACACTGAACTAAAATGCTAACATGCTCAAAAACACCATGTTGTTTGAATAAAGTATTTTAAACTAATCTCACTGTGAAAACCTGCTAGTGAAATATACATCAAAAACCACGGGCTTGTTTTTCACAGAGATAGTGATGAAGACAATGCACAAAGAGCACATCTGTTACAAGTCGCAAAGTGTGAATTTACCTCTTTAGAATCATCAATTCTCTCAAAATAGACGAAAGCAAATCCTCTTGATCGTCCAGTCCGTTGATCATAAACCACATTGACACCAGTCAGAGGTCCATAACGGGAAAAGACTTCACGCAAATCTCTCTCAGTGGTATACAAACTGAGACCAAACACTCCAAGGCAGGTATTAGGATCTGGATTAGCCTGGTAAGACAAATGTTCAACTCCCATTAAGTTTATAAAAAACAAGTTAAACATTTGCATATCAAAATTTCTCAGTTATTAACCATTTTTAATCTGAAGAAAACTACACATGGTTTATTACAAAACTTAACTTGAGCTGTTACCATTTCAATATTCCCATTTTCAAAAAAACCCACCAACCTGTTTTTATGGCATTGTAGAAAAAAAAGACAAAGAGGAACCTGTGTTGGTAAAGAATTCAGTTGATAAAAATTAAGTATTATTACAGAAAAGCTACAGAATTAACAGCAACCTATTTTATTAGTTCTTCACACTTGAGTGACCAACAAGCTACACAGATGACATTAATGCGTGCTAGAAATACGTCAGCCAGCTTCAACTCCCACCATCAGTCCTTCTGCACCATCACCATCAGTACTGTGCACACTGGCTCCAGTTGCACACAATAAATGCATTTGAGCTCTTCAGCACCAGAAGCTGAACTATAATTTAGTGTCCACCAAAGCTTCCTCCCCCTTCAACATTTCATATCCAACTATACTGAAAGTCAGTATTCACATTTGAAAGTTTCTCTTTCCACTTGTGAGCTGGATGAAAGCGACCTGCTTCTTTTATCTAGAGAGTAAGAAGTGTTGAAGGCCAGTTGTGTGAAACTCGTCAAGACGACTCATGATTCTTTAACACGATGTGGGATATGGATCTACTTCATACATGTTACTTCAACTAAAGGAAGTCAAATATGAATTTTTCTGCCAACTGCTTGATGCTCAAATGGAGACCAGTGATGTTCCTTAGTGGCCAGTGTTGGGCCTGACACTGTTCAACTTCATTCTCAGTGATGTGACAGTAGGAAAGAGTGCACCTTCAGCAAGTTTACTATCGGCACCATCTGTGTGATGCAATCAATACACCTGAGGGAAGGGATGCCATAGAAAGGGACCTTAACAGGCTCAAGAGGTGGGCCAATGCCAACCTCATCAAGGTCAGCAAGACCAAGTACAAGGCCTTGCACCTGGGTTGGGTCAATCCCAGGCACAAATACAGGCTAGGAAGAGACTGCATTGAGAGCAGCCCTCAGGAGAAAGACCTGGGGGTACTGGCTGATGAGAAGCTCAACATGACCCAGTAGTGTGCGCCTGCACCCAGAAAGCCAACTGTATCCTGGGCTGCATCAGAAGAAGTGTGACCACCAGATCAAAGGAGGTGATTCTCCTCCTCTACTCTGCCAGAGTCCAGAGGAGGCCACAAAGATGATCAGAGGGCTGAAGCACCTCTCTTACAGAGACAGGCTGAGGGAGCTGGGCTTGTTCAGCCTGGAGAAGAGAAGGCTCCAGGGAGACCTTAGAGCAGCTTCCAGTGCTTAAAGGGGGGCTACAGGAAAGCTGTACAGGGACTTCTTATAAGAGCAGATAATGACAGGACAAGGGGGAATGACTTCAAACTGACAGAGGGGAGATTTAGATTAGATATTAGGAAGTAGTTGTTCACTGTGAGGGTGGTGAGGCGCTGGCACAGGTTGTCCAGAGAAGCTGTGGCTGTCCCATCCCTGGCAGTTTTCAAAGCCAGGTTGGACAGGGCTTGGAGCAACCTGGTCTAGTGGGAGGTGTCCCTGCCTGTGGCAGGGGGGCTGGAAGTGGATGACATTTAAGGGTGCTTCCAACACAAATCATTCTGTGAAATTGTACAATTTCTCCATTAGGTTTAAGGTTTCTCTACGTGCTACAGAGCTTACCTAATTCAAATTCCACTGTAAGAATTATTAATTAGCATTTTTTTCAGTTAAATTTCTGGCACGTTATTCTAGATTCAGTTGTTTAAAACAGCAGCAACAGTCACAGGGATTTAATGTTTCTGTTAGAATAGTAACTGGAAGTTGACACAGTCAAAACGTGTTTCAGATTTTCAAAGCCCCTGATGCACAGTAATTTATGCCTCAGAGCTTGCGTTTCAGCCTGATTCAAAGAACAAACATATTTATATCTTCTGTCATGTTCTTTTCAGTGCTTTTGTTCAGGAATCCATTTTGAAAATAAAATGCCCAAACTATTCATATATTTGAAGTTTCTTTCATTCTTTCCCTTTGCCAAACTTTAAACTTTAAGACATGAATCTTTTACAATTCCTTGTAATATCTGAAAAGCAGAACACAATCTAGCAGTCTGTCATTTGAAAGTTTTAATTATAGAGGTTTAAGCTTCTTTAATAATAAATATTTCAATCTACCTGATAATTCAATGGCACTAATAGCCTTCTTATCGCTCAAACTCTCGTGATTCTAATGAAATCCCTCAGTCTTTTAAATCATTGTTTGGACATGCCCCTCCACACAGCATATAGCAGTATACTGTCCTTTTTTATACATCCCCCATACACTTAAACCCAACTACATTTTCTAGGCAAGAGAAATACTGAGAATCAGTCTCCACACCCTAAGCAGCAAGTGACAGTTACATCACCACTGGAAGCACTAAACTGACTGCAGAGGACTAAAGGCTTTTATAGGAGGGGTTTTTTTTGTACTGCCTCCTATCAACACAGTAGGCAAGTTCTCTCTACAAGATCAGAGGTGGCAAAATTGCTAGCAATTTTCCTGGTGTCTTCAGTACCTTGTTATTGAGGGGACCCAAATATGGCTGACTTCAGTTTCAACACTACTAGAACTACTCCTTAGAATTAATGTGAAACTCTCTGAAAACAAAACTGTTTCACAGCCACTTCCAAGGCAAAAAGTCTTCTTTGCACAGCAATATATTCTAATATTTCCTAAAATAGTAAAGTGGATTTGTTCATCTCTTACCAGGAAATCTGCTAACTCTTTTCAGTTATTCCTGCCAATTTTCAAGACATTAGAGTCATATTTACTACATCATGATTACACACTGGCAACAATCCACAAGACGTGTAACTATGAACATTGCTTCCCAACAGCTTAAGCCACTGTACGTTAGCACTGTTTTAGTCTTGCCCTTTTTCATATGCTCGTCTTCTCCCTCACACCGGTATTATCTGGTCCTGGTGAGCTGTTTTAACAAGGCAAGCCAGCAAAAAAAACTATACTCTTTTCCATGGGATTACTAACAAACTAAACCAGAATAAACCTAAAGGATCAGGAAGTAAAACAGCCCTCACGAAGAAACAGGCAGACCTGTGTTTAACAGCTCTCATTTAGATCAGTCTGAAGCGATGTGGAACCAGAAGCTAAGGCACTGAAACAGATCATAAAGGCCATTGGGAGAAAACTCTCAGAGTGACCTAAGATGTTAGATCTTGGGTGGTGTACTTAAAATTCCTCCTGTCCATAGAGAGATACTTCTCATTTACATTTTGAGAGACTTGCTGATCCTTTTCTTAACTGTAAATTTTCCTATTACATGTTAATAATACATGGGTTATTTTGTCAAGTTAAAACCAATTTAATTACTCACAAGTATAAAATCACAAGCAACCTTCAACACAATGTACTGTTTGTTATTAACCAAATAAACACTTCAGAATTTTCTTTGTCTTCTCTAGTCAATCTTATCAATACTGTACATTTGCAAGCATGCACAGAAAAGGTGCATGCTTTTGGACTACACTGGTGTAAGCAGTAACTGGTTTTTGATACTCAGCCTTGATGAACATGACATACTCTGCTGCCAGTGTGCCTTCTCCTGTTGGACATTGGAGAATGACTACGGCTCCTTCGGCGACGGTATTCTGGCGTGTACGATCTGCTTCGAGAACGTCTCCTATGGGAATGAGAATGGGAATGGGATCTGGAACGAGTGTAACGTCTGTGCGAGTGTCTTCTGGACCTGGATCTTTAACAAAAAGAAAACTTTTAGTTAGGCATATGCAGATGGTGTATTGAACTGTCAGCCTTACATTTCCTGAAGAAAAATCTATTTATTTTAAGATACAATTAAAATAGCTAAGTTTCGCCTACTTTGCACATCTGAAGATTGTGTGGATCTCTAATAACCTCCTTGGTAGCATCATTTTTAACTTTGTGAGAGTGCTTCTGGCATACAACGAGGATTACATTCATGACAGTTTTCAGGAAGTTCAAAATTAAAATTTTTATCAGCTTGGCTGCACATGTAACTAACACTTGCACAATGATAGAGAAACCAGATATGCCACACTGTAAAATACTGTCTTGGCTGTAAAAAATGGAAAGATCTAGCAGCACAACAGTGAAGTAGTATCTACAAATGAACTTCCACCTAGACTTTAAAAGTATTCAAGACCAAAAAAAACCCTGCTTAACTCCTGAAACATTCCTTTGCAGATATCTGGCAATGATTAGCTCAATTTTGTTACAGAACCATAGAATACCAGGTTGGAAGGGACCTTAAGGATCATTTGGTCCAACCTTTCCAGGCAATGCATGACCCAGACTGGATGTCCCAGCATCCTGTCCAGCATCATCCTAAAGCTGCATGATTTAAATACAGGCATTATGTTAGTAATATGGCTAAACACTGCAAGAAGCTATAACATTAGGCTGAACTTTGGGAATTAAGAGCACAGTAACTCTTTTTCAGCTGCCCTAGTACAAAGCATATATAGGTATACAGGAACAGGGAAGATGGAATACTGACCTCTCCCAATAACTGTGGGAGGGGATGACAATGACAACATAATACTGCGCAATGCCTCTTTTCCCTCTGGAGCTACAAATTCCATTTTGTCTTCTCTCTCCATTGACAAAAGAAGGATTTGGTAGCTACCCCCATTTTCACCAGTAAAATGGTACAAGAGAGAAGATAGGTGGTATAAGCCAGGCAACACTGGGTTCAGGTGTAACAGCTTATTTTTCTCCTTCCTAGTAGCTGGTGCAGTGCTGTGTTTTACCTTTAGTCTGAGAACAATGCTGATAATACATTAATGCTTTAGTTGTTGCTCAGTAGCATTTACCCTCATCAAGGACTTTTCAGTCTCATGCTTTGCCAGTGAGGAGGGGCACAAGAAGCCAGGAGGAAGCAGAGACAGGACACCTGACCCAAACTAGCCACAGGGGTATTCCATAACACAGCATGTCATGCGCAATATATATACTAGGGGAAATCACCCTTCGGCCCGAATACCTGCTTGGATTGGGCTGGGAATTGGTCAGCAGGTGGTGAACAACTGTAATGTGAACACATGGTTTTATTGTTTTTTTTTCCTCTTTCCTTTTTAGTTTTATATTCTCTCCCTTTGTTATTTCCCTTATCATTATTATTACTAGTAGTTTTATATTATACTTTAGTTACTGGACTATTCTTATCTCAAGACGTAGGGTTTACATTCTTTCGATTCAACTTCCCATCCTGCCAGGAGAGAGGGAGGAAGGGAGTGAGCAAGCAGCTGTGTGGTGCTGAGTTACTGGGTGGGCTTAAATCAGACACATACTTGGGGGGCGGGGGAGAATATGACATCTCTCCTCTGTTCTTAGCAAACTCTCTCAGAACTATAAAACTTGGCCTCTGCAAACATACACTTGGGATAAAAAAGGACGCAGAAGGACATGTGCAGCATTAAAAAATGAATTTAAATCTTAAAGCTTCCAGAAATCAAGCTCTCCATGCCCATTTTAAATCACAGTTCTCAGATTTTGTTTATAAAGCCTCCAATGAAGGAATGTCAAGAACTTCCCAAGTAGCACCTTCCAACAGTTAGAAAGCTTACTCCTTCTACCTAACCCAGACTACCTTTGCTGAAGTTCTCACTTGACTTTTTTTTCCCCAAGAAAGAGAGGTCCGCACAAAAGTCCGTCTCCCCAGAAAAAGATCTGGGTGAAGGAGGCAGGAGCTTTTACAAAACTGAGACATAATCCCTTCTCGCTCTCTTCTGGAAGAGATAAACCTACACATTTGTTATTTCTACATTACTTCTTTTATTTATATTACTTTCCCTATTCACACCCATGCTTTATTACTCATGAACTCTAATCTCAACTCGGTCAACGTATATGACTGCTAACATGGAAATTAACATAGCCCTGGTTAATGCACCTCACAAGGTTTATAACTTTTTCCAACAGGGGAAATCTTACCAGTATACCCAAAAGCAGGCATAAGCAGGAACACTATATTAACACAAATAACTTCATGGACCTACCTTGATTTTGATCTTGACCTAGAGTGCGATTCAGAATGTTTGGAGGCCCGCGATGGACTGCGAGATCCTGACCTGCTCTCCGATTTTACACGAGCAGGACTCCCAGCTGGAGATTTTGACTGGGAGCGAGACTCCTAACAAAAAAGATAGTATTAAAAATGGTATTGGTTGTATAAATGCCTAACTCCTAACATTTAAAGTACAGTAATTCTATTATACTGATTGCTCCTGAAAAACAAATGGTTAGGCAATACCCTCCAAAACAAATTTCATTTTGCTAACCCACTGTTAATATTGTATGCTTTCCTCAAATAGGTCCCTGCTTGAACCAGATCACCAATTCTCTATTAACTAAGTAATCATGCAAATTCATCTACAACTTGATCATACAGACACTGGAACATAAACCATACATTTACTTAACCTAGGACCCATTCATTCTTCCAGATTCTTTTAATTCTACTTCACTCTTGCTTTCTACTTTTCTTCATTCTTCATTGAGTTTTTCATTTTTCATACTTCGTGTATTCTTCCCCAATTCAAACAATTCATTATAGCCTTAAAAAAATATTCAAGTGCTTCTATCTGACCAATCTTCTGTTCAATTTTTTCCCCCATTCAATTTTAATTTTCTGATCTTTAATACTTTTCATTAGCCTTCTTTTATCTTGATTTATCTTCCACATTCTTGGAAAAAACTCTTCAATTTCTTCACGAACATTAACCTTAATGGAAAAAGAACATTTAGTATATTTAAGCACGTGGGGATTATAAAACTCTGCTGGAGTTCAGATGTTATCTACCAAATTGAAAAGCCAGCAGGTAAAGTGCAAGAAACTATTTTATAAAACAACTTAAAAAAAATACTCTTTAAAAATGTATATGTCTATGGTCTAACAATAAGCTTACTGAGTTCTCAGTGCTTTAATCTATTTTCAAAGCTACCCTCCTCCCCTTTCAGAGTTTTTGTAAGATACACACATACACTAAAAACTAAATAGCACAAATAAAGTACTGATACCAATAACTGTGATTCCCCCCTAAAATAATAGCTATGTAATTCTCAGTATCAAATATTCCCCATTCTACTCCTACACACTATTACTTTAGACACTCAGTTCAACAGAATGGCCAAAGATTTCTAGTCAAAACCTATCTATGCACATACTTACTCGCGTAATACATGCACACAGATATATGCAACAATGCATTTTTCTTCCTACTTTATCTTCCTCATTGTTATCCTGTTTTCCTTGCATACAACTTAAACCATATAAAACAAGATATGCAATAGTACAGTTCAAAGCAATCCAACAGAAGTAAAGACAGGAGGGTTTTTTTCTTGCATGGTAATGCACACAAGAGAAAAACTAGGAAAACGAGCAAACAAAGAAAGAGCTGGTTAGGATTTCCTCATGTTTCAGTTTACAGCATTTCTAGGGAGCTCAGCTATAAAATCCTCTACAGAATAGTATGCTATATAAACCTGTAACTACAGAAGTGCAAAATTCTTAATTAAAAAACATATAGCAAGCCCCCCCCCCCAAGTATGAAATTTCACATTTATTAGCATTTCTCCTCCAGCCCGTCCTCACTGTATTTTTATTATTTCTTAGTCTTTTTATGTCCAGACTTGGATTTTCTTTTGCAGTTAAATTCTGTACTACTTTGTGCTGAAATTCTTTTCAAAGGATACTCTCCTCGCATTTAAAGACAAGACATCCACCAGAAATGGAACCTGAGAGACTTGGGTATTATTAAGTATTACAGCTATGCTACCTTTCCCCTTTATCGCAATAAAAAGGACAAGGGACACATGCAGAATGTCACCTGCTGGGATAATTGACCTGCCAAACTTAGCAATGAAGACCAAATTTGAAGCTTGGCTGGGACACATGGACCATATAATCAGGTCTACATTACAGGTTACCATTACAAGCTACTGATCTAGCTACATAACTTTCACTGAAATAAAATGATTTTTTGTGCACTTAACTATTACATATTTATTTTTACACTTGAAATCCACTTATCACTGTAAAAACCAATTTCCTTTTATAACCACCAACTTGCTTTTTAATCACTTTGCCTCTATTTTTGTACTCTTCATTGTTTGAGTTTCCTCAATTCTTCCCTTTCACTTCATCCCCTGCACAACTATTACCCATTTCAGAACTGTTTCCACTTCCCTCCCTACCAAAGTGATCAGCAACACAGATAATCCTGATTTAGAAAACCTCCTTCAATAAAAAGACAAAGAATTCACCTCAGTTACTCTTTCATGAGAATACTGCTTTCTGCTTTGTCCATACTTTTTACAATTGAAAGATCAACTCTTCAACAAGAACAACTTTGGAAACTTGACCAAAACCAATCCCCCAAACCAGACAGTGCACAACCTAGAAGTGCTGGGAGGTGCCAAAAATACCAAGGACCAAATCACTCCCATACAATGTAAAAGTTAGTGTCCTTAGCTATTCAACTAAATCTTGTCACACCAACCATACAGTTTCTAATAATATCAGTTAAAACAACGAATCTGTATTAAATTGCCAAAAGCAAATGTTACATCATTTCATGTAGGTCAAGTCCTTTTAGAACTATCTGATTAGACCTTTTAGGGGCTGCATTCACAAACATACAACTTCACAATTGGTATGTCAGAGGTGACAGCTAAATTCTTACATGTTTCGAACTTCCTCAAACAAAGAAACCGTAGATGTAAACTGCAACTAAAGAGATTACCTGGTGGTAGTTGCATACTGTGTCTGTCAGTGGCAGGCAATTGCATCTCATCTCCTGATGCAACACAGATCGCCTAGTTATATCTCCTACAGTGCTTCAAAAGGAGAGACTAACGGAACCACAATAATCTGCTGGAGTTTAAGGATTTAAGGATGACGCTGGAAAAAGTACCTAATAAGATTTATAACAGCAATTCTACAGGCAAAGATTAAGAGATTCAGAGCTTCAAGCAGTCACAAAGAGATATTTTAATGAATCTTCCTCCTCTACTTCCTACTATAAGGAAATAATTACCAACTTTATCTCAGTTTGTATCATAGACTGACCCAACTGTTCTGCATAAACAATCTGTACCCACTCTGCAATACGAACAAGAAAATTAAACAGTTAACATTCCTTCTTAGTACATCATCTTTAATGAGAGAAAATAGACAGCTCTATTACCCAAAACTTCCTAGCCAAATCTTGGTTCTGTACTCATCTTTAAACAATCTATACATGCTGATCTTAATTCCATCATTATCACAGGAATTAATTTAAATACTGTTTAAGAGCAAAAAGGATTAAACTTTTTCTCTGGATCCTCAACATTTTCTTATCTTTCTGTTCTTAAGATCCTCAGCTATTTAATGGCCACAGATAAGGCCGCATTTCTTAAACCCAGTTTCTCATCCCACAATTTTCTTATAAAACAGTACATATTTCAATGTCTTCGGCTTTATCATGCAAATGTCTAGTCACTGGTCTCACCCTTACAAACTTATAGGCAGATACTGACTGTGACCTTGTCAAACTATCTAGATTTGCTGCCACTAAAGCCTGTAGAAAAAGACAGTCAGCTAACTCCTTAACATTCTTCAGCTCTGACTTTCCTTTCAAAACAAATACTATGTCTATCAGTAACACTTTTCCCAGGGCAAAACAAAACAACAAACAAAAAAACCCCACCAAATATCCCACCTAAACCAATCATTTTAAAAACCTCAGTTGTAACAGCTTGCTTCCTCAGAATACGATGCGGAGGTTTCCTCAAGTACACACGAGGAAATGGGATTGATGATCCACCAAGAAATAAAACTTGCAGCCAAAGAAAATATTGCAGGTAAACACCCAATCTGAAGACTTCGGCTTCAGTTACTGATTTTCTGGATAAGATGATGCACAGCTAGAAGTACTTAAAGAGAACACTGGAGACTATTTTTCATCCTTTCTACCTTCCCTCTTCCCAGAAAGAGCAATGTGAAATAAAATGGTATGGAAAGGCTATTCGACTGTCCCTCCTCACCTCATGATCACATAAACCCAGTTACTTAACAAGTATCAACTTCAGATGGTCCAGTTGAGCAAAATGTCAGTCACGTAAATGTATTTCATCTGTACTGGTGCAACTGTTTAGATCACGTAATCGAAGCAAGTTATAGCTACCATTTATCTTCCTCACATCCTTCAAAATAAATGCTACTTTCCAACATAATTACTGTTTCAAATGCTTTTGAAACATTTCAATGCAAAGTAGAATTGCAGAAGTCATTAATAAGTATCCTTTCAGCTTTCCACCTTTCAGAAAAGGATACGAGAAACAACATGAGAAAAACAAAGAAACACACCAAAACAAAAGGCAGTATTCTTTCTTTTATACCACCTTTCTGTCCTCCAACTTCTGTCACTTCTTACCTTACCCTTTCAGAGTACAACAGAAAGAATATCAAAAGTTAAAGTAAGTTTAAATTAGGCTGTCTATAGCAAAGCACAGCAAGTGCAACGGGAAGATGAAAATCATTAAATCACAGAAATTTCAGTTTAAATTCATTTGACCTTGTTAAGAAATACACATGGGGTGAGAAAAGAGGACAGGACAACAAGTAGTCTAGCAGTACCCTTAAGCCAGCAAAACAACAGTTAAACCTTACACAAACCCAGCCCAAACTCAAGAAAGAAATTAAGTTGAACTTCGTAATTGGACAGAAAAATTTAAACATTTGAAAAAGAAACAGAAATTTAAAGCAGCCTACATTCCCTGGCTAAAACTGTCAATATAACGACTTTGTATTAATCAGAAAGGACAAAATTACATTTTCATAAAATCACAGAATATTTAGGGTTGGAAAGGACCTTAAGACTATCTAATTCCAACCCTCCTGCCATGGGCAGGGACACCTCACACTAAATCATGCCACCCAAGGCTCTGTCCAACCTGGCTGTGAACACCAACAGGGATGAAGCATTCACAGCTTCCCTAGGCAACCCATTCCAGTGCCTCACCACCCTTACAGTTCACAGTTTAACCACTTTTTTGTCAGGAATCTACCAACCTTTCCTGTAACACATGTAATTTTTGCTTCATACTCTGTTCTGTCAGTCATTACTAAAAATATAACTCACCCCTTAATTAGCTATTCTTCTATAAATATTTCAATAGTATATGTAACATGCTTCTGTATAAAAGGCAACTCATAAGTTATGCTATCTTGAAGACATGCATATTTTAAAAGTTACCAACATCAGCAAACTTTATGCACTTCTCAGTGATACTGCTCTGATTAAAAGGGAAAAAAAAAAAAGAGGAGGAAGCTTCAGCAAAAAACTTTTTGCAGCTGCAAGTTAATCTCACTGAGGCTTGAAAGTATGCCTCTTCAGGGAGGGTTCTGTACTCGCTCCTTTATCACATATATAAGATAGGAAATGGAATTTGTTTTCAAGAAGAACAGCGTTCCCAGATGATATGATCCAGAACAATACAGAATTCATTAAGCTTAATAAAAAAAAAGAAAAAAGGAAAAAAGAAAAATTTGACTTCCAAACAAAGTCTCCTTTCCCACACTGGCCATTAGAAACCGCAGCACTCTCGAAGCAGAACTCCTGAGTATAAGCAGACCCTCATGCCTGTATTTCAAAAGGTATGGAATGCAGCACGCCTTTACTTCCACAGAGGTGGCAGACTGCCACTAAAGGTGAGACTGAATACAATAGCTAAACAGCCTTCTCCCCTATCATCCACCCTCCCCCCAAGAAATGATTTAAAAACTGATCAGATTTAGGCAACTAACATTAGAACACATATGAAATTAAGTATTTTGCGTACAAGCTGCATGAAGCAAATACAGTAAGTATTCACAGTTAAGCTAAGCCAAAAGCTGCTTGCAGATATATGAGCTTCAACAAGATGGCTCACATGCAAAAATCTTATTTCTTCAAGGACTTTATTAGAGTGAGATCACGGTGAGATTCTGCAGAGCAGGAAGAGGTATCTCATTAGGATGAAGGAAGACAAAGAATGTGGAGTTCTGTCTTTATTCTGATAAACAGTTTTACCTATTTAGACAAAAAGCACATTAATATTGGTAGAAAACTAATAACCTTTTAAGATTATTGATTTTAATCAAACATCAGAAGCTAAACCAATTGATTAGTTTCAAGTGGAGCTCCTGCAGTGACATTTGTTCACACTCTAATTTGTCCACTGCTCTGTGGAACATTTTAATAAAGCTGCATCACAGAATGCACCCCAAATGAATGACGTGCTATTAAAAATAACAAGAAATCTGAAAGGAAATAAGAATTGCCTATCATCTGACAGCAATTATATATATATATATATATATATATATATAAAACAAAACCCAAACAACATTCAAATGTCTAACCTGCTAAGAAAAAAACATTCTGTGGTGATAAAATTCTATGACTTCCCCAAAAGTCAAGTCACTGGATAAGAAGCATGACTTAGAATGTTTTTTTTCCTCCTTAATCTCCATAAACTTAGCTTTATCTAGCACATCCACTACATTTCTCCTTTTGTCAATTTCTTTCACTAAATCACCATGTTTGAAAGAGGGGGTGTCTTCTGTTCAACCAGCCACATTCTTAATACAGAACTTGCTTATGCTGAAACAAAATGATACAAAACCAGAGCAGATGCTAATTAGTCTATTTATTAACATTAGCTTTTAAAAAGTCAACAGAAAAAAAAAGCTCAAGAACAAAAAAAAAAAAATCCCAAACGTATCTCTACAATGATTTTATCCAACATTTTAGAACTGTGATTTTTTAAATAGTGCAGCCTCATTGGAGTTATTTCCATGATTTTTTTTAAATTTCCTGTTCAGATTAATTAATATTATGATCTTAAAATAATAAAGAGGCAAAACATATGCACAGACAGTACCCGAAAGCTGCTAAAAATACACTTTTTTGAAAAAGTAAAATCCCTAATCATATTGTAGAGAAATCTTTGAATTTAACTGAATTATAATATTTTTAATCTTCTTTTTTTCATAAAGTAGCAAACCAGGAAAATAATTTCTAATTAATCTCTCTAAGACCAAGCTTATTACATACCAATAAGCACCTTCATCTTAATATCAGACTTCACTGCTTACAAGAGTAGTACGGATGTACTTTTAGGACAACATGCATCTGCATGGATAGAATACAAACAGACTTAAACTAAGCTTGAACTCCCTTACTCTTGGCATTTAGTTTTTTAAAAACATGTCACCCTATTTAGTATTTAAACTGAGGGGGACAGAACTGAAAGGGTACTCAAGTCTTATTTGTGGCAATTTCTTTTCAAACTTGTTTCTAGTTTCTGCAGTTCTTTCTTCCATTGAAAACTTATCCCATACCCTCTCAGTTCCACATGCCTGCATATACCAAACTGAAGCAGCACAGCATTCACCACCATGTACTAGAGTTCTATCCAACTGGGAACAGCAATCTAAAGACCCAAAGTTGAGCATGCTTAATTTTATGCCAGCAAGCACTTTCAGAGGAAATGAAATATAAAATGTTGCAGCCTGAAATATAATTTTGTATTTCAAGTATTTTGATAGCATCAACAACCAAAAAAGCATTACTGAAGGAAAAAAAAAAAAGTTTTTTTATTAATAGCACCAGAAAAACACCATAACCTGTAAACGAATTAGTTACCTACCATTATGTCCAGTTACAAAACCAAAACAAAACCCACTGGTAGATAAAGACATTGCCAAATGCCAGACTGATTGAGAAAGTCCAGTGTTACGGAAAAAAAAGAATTAAAGTTTTCCAAATAAAGATTCAACGTGATCAGAAGCCCTTGCCAACAGGTGCATTTTCCACCACCAAAGAAAGAACAAGCCAGCTAAGAAGCAGCAGAATCTGTTACACAGGACTTTTCAGACTCCACATACTCTCAAAACATTACTTCGCTTCTACGTTTGGCAGCATGCAGAAATACTGAACCTGCAAAGCTATATCAGTGCCATAATGCGAACAGATCCATTAAGGAACCTAATGAAAATGTTAAGTCAATGAACCCAACATAAGTATTTCCTAATAACAAATAGCAGCGGGAATACAGGCAATAATAATAATAAAATAATAATACTAAAATAATAATAAAATAATAATACCTCCATAAATCTGACTGTAAGATGGGAAACTGACGTAAAAATTTCAAAAGTTTAACAACAAAACACACTTATTGCTCAAATTTCTCAGACTCAGTTTTCCCTTCAGATATTAGCTTATCTAGCTGAAAAGACCTTAGCTATACTGCCATCTTTGTCCAAGCAGCCATCACAGAATAGATTTTCTTTACCTCACCTGAGGAAGCAGCGGCGGTCACTACACTGTCAAGTGCAGCACTCAACCTAAGCAGTGTTGGTTTTGGGGGTGTTTGTTTTCATTTTGTTTGTTTGGTCTTTTTACTAACATCACAAAGGGTAACAATAGTCGTGTAAAACAAAATATTAATGGAATGTGACACTACTCTTCAATAATTTCATTGCTTGTTTCCCCAAACATTAACCCTACATAAATAACTGCAAAGTTGCTGTCACTGGTTCATCAGAGAAAGCGACCTGAGCTGTTCCTCTAAAGGATCGCTTAAAAGAGTAAGCAACAACAAATCTCTGCAAAGTTAAAAGAGTAAGTAGAGGTGGAGTGAGGACAAAGCAATTCCTGCTTGCCCTGATCATCACTAAGGAAGAAAGCCATGAAAAATATAAGGGACCAGTCATACGTGTACATGAAAAACCGCAGCAATCAGAGGGGAGAGAGAAGGAACAGGCTTAACAAGGTTACAAAGCCACAGCAGCTTGTTGAGAGAAAGTCTCCAGCTGCGTGATCAATGCGTTTCAACGGTTTGACAACGAAGGCCATACCTCCCTGCCGGCTTCGGGAAGCGTAGCCCGAAGAAGATCCTGCCTGCGGGCCAGCAGCCAGGAAAGGCAGCGCACCTCTCACAAAAGGACCGGGTCTCTCGTCTCTTAGGCGGGCGTGGGCCTCGGCTACACCGCGCGGGACCGCGCTCTCCATGCCACGACCAGGGGGCCGATACTGCCCGCGGGCAGAGCGGTGACGGACGGGGAACGGCAGCGACCCCAAAGCCTAGTACCGGCACACAACAGAAGGCCGGACAATAGGGCGGCTCAAAACCACGGGAAAGAAAGAAAAGGGAGAGGAAAGCGGAGAGAAACACTGGGCTGCACCACCAATCCAAGCCCTGTTCTTAGATAAAAAACAAGCGCTAGCACGGTGGGGGCGAACCCGCACCGCCCGAGCGCAGGGCCCGCACTCCGGCGGGGGGGTGGGAAGGGGGTGATGGGAGAAGGAAGCTTGTGAAGAGTGAGGCAGCGCAGCTCAGCCTCGCGCTAGGCCAGTTCCTCAGCGCCAGGTCCGAAAAACCAACCAAGCAAACAGAAAAGGAGGCAGGGAGAGGAGAGAGATGCGAGCGGCCCAGGCCCACTCCAGACTCGGGCACTTGAAGAAGCCATTTTAGAGACAGGCTGCGTTGCCCCCACCCCTAGCGGGCCGGAGGAGGAAGAGCGCCCTCCCCCCTTCCCCGGGGCAGCTCACCCCCCTCCCATACGGCCCGGGTCGAGTCGGGACGGCTACTCACCCTCCCCTCGAAGTTGTTTTCCTCCACGTCGCTCATGTCGGCGAAGTCCTGGACGCGGGACTGGGCGAACAGGGACAGTAGTCCCAAGCAGCAACCGTACCCACGGCCACTACCACTGTTATTGTTTCTGTTATGACTACCGCGCACTGCCACCTCCCTCCCCCCAAACCCTCCTAAGCCGTCTCCCGCAGCACCGCAAAATGGCGCCTCCGCTCCGTGTGCGCCCGACACCGCGCGGGAGGCGGGGCCCGCCTGTCACAAAGAAGGAGACGCCGCCGGCGGGACAACGAGCGGGCTGCGAAGAGCCTCGCGAGGGTCCGCCGAGCATGCGCAGACGCTTCTTCCCCCCTCCTTCCCCCCGCCTTCCCCCCGCCCCGCTGTCGGGGGCGCGCCGCCGCGGAAGCGAGCGCGCTGCGAGTCCGACCAGTTACGGGGGTAGGTCTGCCGCTCCCCGGATGATTACAACTCCTTTCCTCCAGTCCTGTCTGAATCGCGGATGCTCCTGCTCGGCATGAACATCGGCCTTGCGTCCAAACCCGCCGTGGGAAAGGGTGTTTAAAGTTTATGTGTTCGGGTCCCCGCTGTTGGTGGTCCTTTGTTAGGGGAAGCGGTTATTTAACATGTAAGGCTGGAAGGGTGCTTTCCTTGTACTAAATGAAAACGAAGGCGCGTGATTCAGTCCGAATACTTCCAGAAAACAAAGGCCTGAATTTCCACTTTCAGTGAGGAGAATTGCCTTTCAAGCGGGGTTTTACCGAAAGGCGCCTCTGCTTGGCCGCAACTCAAGGGCTGAGTTGTGGCCGAACAGAGAAGATCCTCCTTTGTATCCTACGCAGTTTTGGCACTTCTTCCTCCAGCACAAGCTAGTACCTACAGCAGCCCTTATCTTGCAGGCAGCAGAGGCTCAGCACCGAGGCCAAATGGGTTGGAAAGGACAGAGCAACAGATATGCAAATTAATAGGGAAGGATAGCCTACAGGTACGGAATGGCATGGGAAAGGAACAAAGATCACAGCAGCAACCTATTTTTGCGGTTTTGGATTTTAAAAGCTAATACAGAGCACTGCAGTATAGCAAGTTTTCACCCCTGAAATCCTGGGATTTTATCTGTCCCTTGGGAAATTATTCTGATTCTTGCGCACCAATATGAGGAACATGGAAACACTGTTAAGGTATGATATTCATATGTCACTGAGGAGAAACAGGGTGTTGGATATTATTTTGTGATATCGATTTTACCACACATCTTGGATAAAGGGAAAATCTGTCACGTAATATTGTGAAATGCACGTTCATGAAAGATGACCAAATGCATGAGGCCTTCAGGCAATAGGAATTAGGTATGTTATTAACAGCTGAGAGTTCCTGTCAACAGAGGATACATTTGTAAGGGAGACAGATTTCTTAATACAATTTTGTGACCTCCACAAGCAAATCTTCCTGTTACTACGCCACTGACAGATTTCCCTTTCTCTTCCCAGTAAGCTCTAAACACAATGTAAATTACATTTGCAAAGACATTACAGCTGCTCACTGCACATCTGTGAAAATAAAGGATTAATCACTGAGAAAATAGTACAGTAATAAATGGCAGTAAATAGCTGCAGTGCGTTTGTTCTGTGAAGTCCATTTCAGACTACCTGGTTTTGATCTTGTCAGGAGGAAGTCTTCACAAGGAAATACCCACAGAAACTGATGAGGTGATTTCCACTTTTGAAAATACTTCTAGCAACAATTTTATCGGTACTGCACAAAATACAGTCAATCTGTTCACTCAAAAGCTTACTCACCAAATATTTCAGGTTGGGTTGTTTGGTTTTTTGCCTGTCATTCAACATTGTATAACTTAGCAACAGACTTTTGCCCATGGGATGGATTACATAATCAAATAAATATATAATTCCCTTAATGCAGCTTCTTCTGAATATTCTATCCAGTTCTACGCTTGCCTAATTTTATCAAATTTAAATTAACTCTTAGGTGAATACCAATATTTTCCAGATAAACAAGAAAAAAACCCAAACTACCAAACACCAACTTTTCCAAAATACGTTTCACAAGGCTCTGAAATAAGGTACTGTGAGGGAGTTGACATTAGAAAAGTTTTATATGTGACCGACTCATCAGCTGACATAGTAACACCCGCCAATAGTTTTGTCTATCTACTTAGGTCTAGGCCACTAACGCCACCGATGTATCAATATCCTTTTTTCTACTAGAGCAATGGATTTAAATACTGATTTTTCCCGCATGTAATCCATGCCAAAAAGAAAGGTTGATGACCAGAGAGGAGCCAGGCAGGCTCTGATGCAGGCTGGAAAGGAGGAAAGGAGGGAAGCAGGAAAGCAGGAAAGCTGCAGTACAGTGCAGGTGTGGAGGTACTGATGGGAAGCTGAGGCCATGGTTGCCAGGACAACTCTTGCTGTAACTGTTTATTTTACAGAGGGTGCGATGTTGCAAGCAGAACCTTCCCTTTACACGCACCTGCTGCACCTGACCAGTAACAGGTACCTTAGCTTGTCTAGGTGGAGACAACCCTGAAGGGGTTGAGCGAGAGTGAACAACATACTCCAGAACACTGGCAGCTGTTGGACGTGCCCTTATAGTCACCTTAGTTAACTGATATCTTTAAACTGATTAAGCCTCCTTTAAATCCCACCTTGCAGGAAGAGCTTGAGGTAACTTGCAAGCACAGCCCTACACCCACAATGGGTATTATTTACATGACTATCGTGGTGGGAGCTCACATACTGCCCCAGCCACCAACAGCCCAGCTTGTGCAGCTGCGTGCTACAAGAACTAGAATACCGTGAAGGCAAACCGTCCCTGCACCTGACCTCAGGAGGGATAGAGATGTTTCTGAGGCCACTGGCAACGTTCACTTACGCCGTTAGAGGGCAGAAAGGGATGCCTTCCCTGGCTTAAACTCCCGCAAGCAAACTACTCACGAGCATCAAAAGGGAGTGGACAGCTTTATCGCTGCCCAGGGGATGAATGCTACTAGCCCTACAGTTACGTATCACCTTCCCGGTCCCCGCACAGCGGGCTGTGGCTCTCCCTGCCTCTGCTGCAGACGAAACCCCTGCGGAAACTGACCAACCACCTCGCCCTGAGCCAACACCAGCACCAACACCTCTCACGCTTCCTCCCCAGGGGTGGGGAAGGGGGCAGGCACCGAGTCGCGCATGCGCCCCACAGAGTGCGGCAACCCCTTTGACCGGGTTAGGCGGGGCGTGAGGTGCTGCGTCGCGGGGCGGGGCGGGTGGGGCGGAGCCAGGGTGCTTGGTAGAAGGCTGGTGGCCGGCGGTGGAGTTGAGGTACTGTGGGGTTGTTGCTTCGAGGGGCTCGCTCAGGGGCGGGCCTGTTCTTCCTGAGGTGCCGTGCTGAGCGGCTGATAGGAGTGGGGTGCGAGAGAGCTGTGCCTGAGGAAGGCAGGGCCTTCAGCTGAGTCGGGTGGCGCAGGCCCATCAGTCCGTATGCGGAGCTGGGGTGCCCCCCCGCTGGCCTGGCCGGTGGGGGGAGCAGAGCGGCAGCAGCCTGGCAGCAGCTGCCGGGTAAGCCCGGGTTTTCACCTCGCCTGAGCGCTCCGCTTTGCTCTCCTCCTCGGGCTTGCCCCGTGCCTCGGCACAGGTTTATGTACTTCCTGGCTTTGGCCGTGCTTCTGCTTCCCCCGTTGGCGTTTGTGCAGCCGTCAGCTTTCCCTCCTTCCTCCTTCCCTCCCTTCGTCGTTCCGCTGCGGGTCGTGTTGCCGGCAGGGCAGGTCGGGCCCCCCTCGGCTCGGGCTGTCGGTGGCTGTGTTCCCCTCTCACAGGTGCGCGGGGATGGTGCGTTCCGCTGGACGGCCGTGAGCCAGGGCTGTGGTGCAATGTCCTTGGGTGCTGAGGAAGCAGTGAAGGAAATAAGGGTTTTGTGGTTTCCTTCCTCATCTGTCATAAACTGACTGCAGTGACTCTGCAGGATTGATGTCTGTCTTGTACTGTCAGGACGTAACTTTCAAAAGCATGTTTACAGTGATGTGATAGAACTTGGAAAGAAGAAAATTCTTTTCTAATTCCTATTCAAGCAAAGGTAGGATCCTTAGTCACGTTAAGTAATCTGGCACTAAGAAGTCCGCATAAAAAAAAGCGGGTGAAATATCTAATTTTAGGAGAGTACAATATATGCAGCTTCATGACAGCGGGAGTGTGGAATAATGTTTTCTTCTTACAATATAATAAAACTATAATCTCTGATTGTAACTATGTTTTTAATTTTTCATTAAGTTTCTGTAAATATTTATAATGTATTATTCAGTCTGCCTTACTTTTGCAGCTTCATTAATAATTCATTATTAATAAACTTTCTTATCTTTAATTTCCTAATCTAACATGGTAGCATCCTGTGAATTCTCTTTGATGTGTTTTGTCATCTGAAAAATGCTGCCAGCTAGAATGGGTGTAATTTTTGTGTCTGTATGCCACAAAGCAAAGCGGGGAGAATTTTTTGTTTTTTCCTGTGACATGACATGGAGTTTCCTTAGTGCACTTTACATGAGGTTAACAACTAGGGTTTTGTTGTTTTGCCCACTCAGTGAATTGGGAAAGGGGTAGGCATTTTTTCATTGTGAAAGGTGAGCTTTGTAGGAATTGTGGCTTTATTTTAACAGGACCCCCAGATTACGAGCATGCTGCACATAATAGCTAAGCATGTGATTCATTCTAACTGTAATGTTTATTTTGGAGCAAATGGCTTGAATTACTGTTTTGCTCTTGTGAGAATGTCAAAGAAAGGAGACAATATGAAAACGATGATGATCTATTCTAAATTCAAGTGTCACAAGTGGAGCGATTTCAGTTTTGGGTCAAATGTGGAAATTTATTGCTATCTTTTGTTTCCGTTTTGACTGCTGGAGGTACCCATGTGTATAAAGGCTAAATTATTCTGCCCTCTTTTTGTCATTTTATGTGTTACAATATATAATTGTTTAATAATTCATTTCAGGTACTTGAGCACTCGAGAGGATTAAGCAATTAGGCTGGAAATCCTTTGGTCTAGTAAATAGGCCTTTTTCCTAAAGCTTTTACAGCTGGAAATAAAGCTACTTTCTATTTTTTTTTTTCTTAAGCTTTTGTAGTCTCTGCTTTTAGAGACTTCTTTTGGCTTTTAGCTTCTTGAAAGAGGCACTGGTACTAGCTTCCCAAGCTTGTGATTTAGCTTGGGGATTGGATGTCATTTAACTGCTAAAAGTAAGGTATTTTTCCTGGAGTTCGTGATCGCTTGCACATTTTTCAAGAGCAGTTAAGAGCACTAGTTCTTGCATCTTGCCCACGCTTTAAGTAGGATAAATGCATGCTGTCAGCTTGAATTGTCAGGCATGTAGTCAGTATATCTGAAGACTAGTAAGTGTCAGAAATAGCCATTAAATTGTTTTCAGTAGCTGTCAAAAATCTGTGGGGTGCAGTCATTCAAATGAATGTGTTTTGTGCTAGTACAAGTTTACTGCTAAAATGTACTTTATATGGTATTTTTTATTTGACAGGCTTTTTCACCTGTGATTGAAAACTTGTACCGTTACGTGAGCTGGGTTTCCTCATATAAGCATTATTAATGGTCTCCTAAATTTGTGATTGTCAACTTTATGAAGAATTTATATAGCCATTTCCCTATGTAATTGAAAGGATTAATTTTGGGTCACTCAGAACTGAATGGCTACTTTGCTTGTGGGAAACAGAACCAAGAAAGGAGGACTTAAAACTTATTCCACTGAAATTGGTCTCTTGCATAATATTAAAGAAGTAAGAGGCTACCATTCTATAAATTGTCCAATTAAATTTCTGGGTACCTTTTACTTAATTTTAACAATGAAATATTTTGCAGTGCACACAGCTGTGGCCTCACTATGCTAAGATAAACTGACAAGTCCATATAGAAATAATAAAAGATGTACAGTAAAAGAATCTGTCTGTCTTTAATGCCTCCTCCAGTGTTAGTCTACTAAAATCTTCAAATGGATCCGGCTCCTAGGAAAGAGTGTGACTGAGGCCAGGTCTGTATTGTAGTTTTACTACTGAAACAAACCTTGCATACTTCCATACTCGGCTGAATTCTGCAGGTTTTTTGAAATAAAAAAGACAAGTTAAATTCTTCCTCTCCCTTCTTTTTTTGTTACTATTCTACAGGAATTGTGTTTGTGTATATGTTGCACCATGTATACATGTATGACCAGTTCTGCAGTGGCAAAGTCTCTACCAGTGCAGCTGTCACTTTATTAGTTGACTCCCCCCTCCCCTTTCAGTTCGCTTTAAGGACACCCCCCTTCCTCTTAATTCTCTTTAAAATGTGCAGTGAAAATATCTTCTCAGTAGCCTACATTAATAATTGCAGGTATGGCTCCCTAAAACTAACTACAGTTAGCTGAACATTATCATCTCAGAATTCCCAACTCTTTGTTCGTGAAGTCAAGCCATGATCATCTCAGAAGGAAGTTTTGGGGTGCCAGGGGTTTGGAAAGAGGGATGCAAGCACAGCTATGAAATTTCAGGAAATAGAGATACTAGTTAAGGCTTTGAAAGGGAGTACTTGTCATAGCCTAATGTTCAACTGCTGTGAAAAAAATTGTGGCAGTTTTATTGGGAAATAGGAACTTAAGAAGGTACCACATGCTCTGTCATGTGGCTCATCTGAGCAAGGGTTCTACTGCTGTGATCTGAACAGCAGCGATAAAGTATAAAGAAGTAATGAAGTGTCCCAGATGGAATGAAGCTGAGATTTCTATTTATTTATTTATTTATTTTAAGAAGCTGATACAGAGATGTAGAAACATTTTGAGGTCCAGATGGATCCAGTGGGAGGAGGGGGACTTCAAGAAAGTATAACATACTGTCCCCATTGATATCTGCTTTCTTTAATTTTCTTCACAACCCTTGCCAAGTCACTTCCCCTCTCAAAATCTTGAATCTTGGCTGACTGCCCACAGGCAAGGAACAAAGAATTTCTGTTCTCAAATAGTTGATTTGTTTTAAAAGCATTCGCTGAGAGTAGTAAGGAAAATAAAGGAGAGAGGTGCTGGAAAAAAAGCTAGGATACTTTAAGGTACCAAAAAGTACTTGAGCAGACTCCTTAGACATGCAAAAAACCCCAAACCGGTTGTTGGTGCAAAGTGTAAAATAAAACCAATGCAAATAGGAGTACATGCCTTCAAATTAGCACAAAAGGTAATTTAGTGTGTGGGCACTCAGATAATTTTATACCAGAGCCACTGTAAACTTGATGTGTGGGTTTTCAAGTCTAAAGCAGTATGGTTTTCCTTTCAACTCGAAGTCCAGCTACAAAACAAATTGGTTGTGTGCTGTTCTTGGAAGACCGTAGGAGGTAAAACTTCCTGATTTAAGATATGTTTGAGATTGTCCTAGCAGCTCATCAGCACCTCATTGAGAGACTGGTGAGGGGACTGGTGGTAGCACACAAGGTGGTTTTCTTTTTTTGCAGCACTAAAAGAAAAGATTTTCTTGGTAGTTTCCCGTTTTTGCTATTCCCTTAAACCTCTTGTCTTTCTATGATGTCACTTGGAATATCTATTAAAGTTATTCCTTGAAATATGGGTAGCAATAAGGCAAGGGTTTGTTTTTTTTTTTTCTTTCGGCATTTCCTGGTGATTCAAGTATGGGGCATGCAGTTGGGGAGTGAAGGAACATATGCTGTGGGAGAAGGTATAAAGATAGATGCCCTGGAAAAGACACCAAGCACTAGGCAGACTCCTTTGTCAGTGCATTCCAAACATGGTACAGAACTGTTAAAACCTGCAGTCCTGCAACTGTCATTTTGATAAGGCAGCCTTTTTTTATTCCCAGAAATATGCCTTGTTACCTATTCTGAAGATGGCAGTGTGTTGTATAGTGCTGTTATTTTTTTACTTGAGCCTACCAGCGATTAAATAAATTGTCTTCTATCACCTTATCTATGATGCAGTCTCCAAAGACCCTCAAGTCTCATAGCCCATAGGTACAACATTTTGATGGGCTGTGGTGCGTCAGGCATTGTTGAGATTTGTCAATAGGGTATCCTTCTCTTTCCCTCTCTGCTGATGACATTTTTCTGTTGACCAAGTTTTACAGTAACAATAATAGAAATACTTCACATGCTGAGAGCTGATGTCATCAAAAGACAGCTCAAACATGGTCTCACTTCTTTGGGGTCACATGTTTCTGTTAATTGTTTGCTTCCAGGTAGAATATTCTGCACTTTTGTGGTGCTGTGCAGTTGTCTGAACCTAATTAATGAACCTGGGAACCAAAAGGCAGCGTTGGTCTGCAAAAGTCACCAGTACGGATGTGCCAGTACAGGAAAATGGCATCTTTTTAAGAACTCATGTGCTCTTAAAAATATGAGGAAGGTGATTCTTCCTTGGGCACCAGTTTTAAATAATGCATGATGTGGGTAATATGATTTGTTAGAGGGGCTTTGTGTTATGTGTTATAGGAATGGAGAACTGAAGTTTCTGTGTATTGCCAGGACATGTGGTTTTCAAAAACAGGACATACTTAACTTCTTTGTCAGCTGCACCTCATGCAGATTTTTCTCTTACTGCCAAACCAACAGCCATCTAAGACTGCAAACATAATTTTTGGCATTCCAAAAAGTCTCGGCATGTAGCTCCTGAGCTTCTGCATGCTTATTTCATTGCCCGTCTTCTAAGATTTATTGGTTAGTGACTATGTTCTGTGCTTTTTTCGTGTGCATCAGTCATTCTTCAGAATTCCCATTTTCATTGCTGCACAGCAACTGCACTGACAAATTTCCAAATAACACAGAACAAGGCTGTCTGCACTCAAAATGGTCAGCACAATGCCTGGCAGCTGAATGACCGTGATGCTCAAAGTTTTATGTTGGAAAATAAAAGATTCTGGAGGTCACAGAGGTAAATGGGCTGGGGGAGGGCCTCACCTTAAATAGATGCAAAAAAGGAAACTAATAGGATAGAGCTGGTTGAGCAGTGAGAATATTTCCTGGTATCTGTAATTCCATGTGAATTTTGTTTTTCTGAAAGCTTGGTTGGCTATTGCAGTGAGGTTATCATTGGGCCTGTTTACAACATAGGTTATTGTATATTAATACAGCAATCTTGCTGTACTGAGAGGTGTTTGCTGCAATGAATTTAATAGAAATGTCTCATACAGGTGTAGAAAAACGATGATAAACATGTACTGTTCTTTTATAAGCTGTCTAGCAGAATTGATGGTGCTGTAAGTTGCATTGTAACCTTTAAAGGATTTGGGTATGCCTGGTTTTCATGATACCCTGAGATGTTTCAGAGGACGTACGAGGTATTCCTTTGCCTTACAGACTTACATTTTTTGTGCTGTACTTGAATATAATCTCTGGGTTTTGCTTAGAATAAGTAAAGCAGAATCTGAGGAAGACTCCAACAAATTTCAAATATGATGCTTTGTTAAGTATGGGCTGGTTTCCATGGTGAAGAGTCAGTTCAAACTTAAGTCTGATGCTGCTGTTCAGTTAATTAGCATGAGAGATACTAGAACTTTGCTTTATTACAGAACATAGAATGGATTTTCTGTTGCTTTTTCTTTGGCCCTTGTTCTTTTTGTTGCATGCACTCAGTAATATAATTTATACATGACTGATGTTGGAATGCAGCTCTGAGGATAGAGACAGGATTTGTTTTGGAGTTGCTGAGTGCCTTAGTTCATTGGTTTCATTGCCAGCTGCACGTCAGTGTTTGTTGTGGTACCACTGGACAATGTTAAATCCACATTGGCAGGCTTTGGCAATACATTTTTTAGACAACCAGCAGTGGCAACAGTGAAGTAAACCAAACTTTATGTCTGTGAAAGGCAGACCTAGTCTCAGATACTTTGTTCAGGAATTGCTTGTAGTTCCAAATTGTAAATTTTCAGAATAATATGTATGCATGTTGATTTTAAAGAACTTTGAGAACTTGCCACTTGAGTCAGTCACTTCAGGCTGCCTAGTGAAAGATTTATCTGAAAGATATTCTCCTCTTTATGGATTTTTTTGATTGACCTTTTCCCTGCATAGTCAGGTCAGCAGTTTCATTTGGTATGTGTTTTTTCTGTTTGTTTTAGTTGGCTGGTTTTTATTTATTGTTTTCAGTCTTGTTTGGTTTTGTTCTTGTTTTTTCCTTTCTCCAGATTTTCAAATTTTGTCATGCCTATACTCCTTCATCTTCATGGTCGACTTCCTTTTGTCTCAGTCTTTATGATTATAGATGGTAGGGATTCCAACAAGGTGTAGCTCTGTTGTGCCCTTTTTTCCTGTTGATCTCTGTAGAGAGGGATGAGGTTGGGTTCCCACCCAGGATAAATCGGTGTGATGAAGGAAGTCTCAGCTTCCTTTTTCCTTGCTTAGGGACTGGTGGGTAAGGAGGAATATGAAGAATGAGGGAGTGGAAAGATCACAAGACTTATGGTTCCCTTCTCACATGTATGCTCTTATCTCATGGGGTATTACCTCTGAAATACTAAAATCAAAGGTCCATTCTGAGGACAAGTTTTGTTTAAATTATAATGTTCATATAGAGAAATGCTGACCCTTCAGGGCAACAAGAGGCAAAAGAATATTCCAATCTATCCATCTTACTTGTTGTGCTATTTTCTTCCTTATATGTACACCTGCTGCTCCAATACCCTGTTTTCCTACTTGCAGAACACATGGGTATGAGCTTGCTTTTATTTTTATTGCTGCTCCACACTGTGTAATCTTGGAAGGCTCTTGCAGGAAGTGTGTTATGGGTCACTAGAAGGGCATGATTCAGTGCCCAATCTGCAGAACTTTAAAATTACCTTAAATTCAGTTAGGGGGAATGGCCTCTAAAAATGCGTAGGAAAAGTGACAAGTACAAATACTTTCCTTCATTTTGGTACACCTTACTCCCAGTTCCTTTGCCCTGTGTCAGTATTTGGGTGTTACGCCATTTGCTCAGCAGGTTAAATCCTTGATTTCCGCTAGTTTCAGTAGTCGGCATGTGCACTGTGAATCAAATATACGTGGCAGAGACCCAGTCTGCAATTCCTGCTGCTCTTTGGCTGGAGTTTATGCAGTCTGTTCCTTTTGGCTCTGCTTCTTGTCCTGGCTTGTGCTCTTACAGTGTGATGCTGAGTTACTTCCATTCCAAAGCTCTGTAGTGAGATTGTCTGAATGCTTTAGGAGGAGATATGGCTGGAGATCTGTGGAGAGCTGAACTTAATTTAAATTCTGCAAAAGGTGTCTGTTATTGTCAGAGGTTTTTTTTTGTTGGGTTGTTTTTTTAATTTTTTTTTAAATAATGCAGAATGTAGGCTTTTGGGAATAGGGGTTGATGCTTGTGGTCTCTCCTTGAGAGATACTATTTGGTCTTCTGAGTCATAATGTTAATACCCTACTCCTGGACCTTATATGTGAATGTGTTCCATCATAGTTCATACTAATTGGGAATTGTGTAGGGTTCATAATGATGTAGGTACAGTTTATGCTTTAAAGTGTGAGTGCAGAGCCATGGATTTGGCAAAGAGCTAGGGAAAAGAAGTTTTGGTTAACTCGTGTGTAGAGAGGATCTGTTTCAGGAAATCTTTAACCACACAATTCCAAATAATCGTGCTGATACTGTAGAAGATAAGCTTTTATTGTTTTCTCTCTTAGGTACTTAAGACAAATTTATGTCTTAAGTATTTTTGGAGGTATAAGCACACTTTTTGACCAAAGTACACCACACTGAATTTACAGTGGGATTTCATATTATTGTATGTTGGCTGTCTGTCTGTGTGTGCGGTCATATCTCACCGTTAAGGTGAAGTAAGCTATTCCTCATTAAATGACTTGTGATTGCCACTTGCAGTGGCAACAGGAAGATTTTATGTATCGGCAGTTACTATAGGTCATTTTACACACAATAACTTGTTACTTTACAGCAGCTTTGGCATCAAGGTCCTAATATTGCCTCTGCCTTGGGCTGATAACTTTCAGATTAATTTAGATATACATGTTGATTTTAGAGCACTTTGAAAATTTGCTACTTGAATCAGTCATTTTGGCCTGCCTATTGAGAGCATTATCTGAGGAGTGAAGGTGAAGGGTGACAAGCACAACTTGGAACCCTGCTGCAATGACACTTGTGTTTGCAGCAAACTGGTGTGCTGGCATAAGGCCAGTTGTACTGGTCAGCAGAGGCAATGAAAGATGCCATGGAGGAAGAGTTGGGTTTAAATGAGTGCTTAGCAGGATTAAAAATTCTGTCTCAGTAGTCCAACAAAACCAGACACTGAAGTACCACTATAGAAAGTCTGGTGGGGAACACTGTTAAATGTGTGATTTCAGTCTGAAAATCACTCATGTCAGGCAATATATGGGGAAGAATGGGGAATAACAGGGGAAATGTAATTATTATGTAAAATTAAGTGGCTTTATCCAGATTTTGTGAAATAATAGAAATTCCCTCTCAAAAATATTGAATAACTGGAGAAGTTTCAGAGTTGGCTGAAACTGAGAAATACGAGGTAGGTACATGTAAAGAGATGGAAAAGATCAGAGTCATCTGGGGGAGAAAAATGAGTAAGAGAACATATGTAAGCATATATGTACATACGTATCATTTATGATGAATCTGGAACATCTGCCGTCACTGCCTGGTAACATGAGAAGAGGGACACATTTTTGTGAGATTCTTACAATTTTTTAAAGTATGTTGAAATCGGATATTAGGCATTTAAATGTATGCATTTATAATAATATGGAAATAGATTCTATTTTCTTCCCTTGAAGTTAAGTTAAAAATTTCTGGTTTAAACGCATGTGGTTTGAAGCTCTAAACTTCAGCCACTCCACATGAAAATGAAGGTCTGTTTAGTCCTGCACTTCATTTAATTTGTATTTTTTTGTCCTCCCCCAGTGCAGAGCTCCCTGAAGATGTCTGGCTCATATTGCTTCAAACTGTCTGGACATTTGCTGTTTAACTCCTGAAGCTTTTCTGCCATCTATTTTTCTCCTGAAGCCTTAATCTATTAAGGGATCATAATTGGCTGCTATGGTAAGACAATTTTAAAGTGGTAGTAAAGTGCTAAAAATGGGTGCAATGTGTCAGTGAATTTTGGTTTTATTTCTTTATTTATTAGCAAGATACAAAATCTAAAAGAATATTAATGCTGTACAAAACCAGAAAAGGATGATGCCTAATTCTGAACTAACTAATAAAACAAGAAACTCTGTTCTGCATTTTATCTGTTTATAGTTGTCCTATGTTTCTAAGTGGAAAATAAAGATCAAGTGAAGAATTTCACAAGATCTTTTTTGCGTGTGTGTATACAAATGATATAACATTTATCAAAATGTTCTGTGTAAGTCCCTTACAGGTCTCTTCTAGATACTGCATTTTGTGTGAAATAGGTTTAATGTCAGTTCAAATTATGGTATTTAAAATACTTCAGGTGATTTGTAGAAGCATAAAAGTTTGGGGTTTGGAGAATAAAAATTGGTAAAATCAGAGGAAAACTTGTAAATTACACATGCGATGGGAAGATGGCTATATCTCTAAGGCGATACAAATCCACACCTGTTTGCTAGACTGCGATAATACTGGAAACTGGTATTTGTCCTTGATCTCCACAACTGTAGCAGTTTTGAATAACCAGGTGATCTTTTACAAATTTCAGGAGTCCAGATCAGCTACAACATGAGAAGATGTACTCAAGATGATCGAACCAGAAGATTTTTTCACCTCATAGAATCTTATTTTTGTTTATAATGTAATATAATTTGACAGAGCCAGGTTCAATTATTTATCTTGAAATTAAGACACGCCTGTGACCTTCATCAGAAATGTTTCTAGCATTTTCAAGGAAAAATATGTCCCAGAAACTGAGCATGTTTTTACTAGTTTTTGGCATCATCTGGGGTTTGATGTTGCTACGCTACACTTTTCAGTATCCAAGACGCCAAAGCAGTGCTGAGTTGCGTGGACAGATATTAGATCTAAGCAAAAGATATGTCAAAGCACTGGCAGAAGAAAATAAAAACTTAATGAATGGTGGTGGTGGAGCCTCTATGGCTGGATATGGTAAGAGAAAAAAACAAACATTAGTTATTCAAATACCCCTTTTCCCTGCAAACTGTAAAGCTATACTTTCCTACTTTTTAAAAGTAATATATACTGCTATGTAAGAGGAAAAGCTCTCTGTATTAACGAAGTTGACTTTAGTTTATTCACTGAAGGTGAAGATTAAGATGTGATACAAAATCAAGCTTGAGACATGAGATTTCTCGTTTTCCAGGAATGTTTATGTATCTCCAGGTATATGACTACTGTTACGGGATTAAGAGAAGCATTGTGCTTTTTCTGAATCTTACATTACTGAGGAATAAGCACATGTCTGCTAAGGGGACAGTTTTAGACTAAGTCACTTCAACATTCTGGATTCTTTTTATGCCTCACTGCTAACTTTCTGCTTTTATTTCTGTAATTTTATTCTCTTCAAGTAGTAAAAAAAGCAGCAGAAACCAACATATTGGTTAAGTTTACAGTCTTGAGACTGCAAGGCAATTATTAGTTTAGGAGAATCTCTTATTGCTTTAGAAGTAGCCATTAGAGGTAAGGTCCCTTGTCTCTGTAGCTTTGATACTTGCTGCATCATATCTCTCTGATTTATGTGTTAACTTGATGAGTATGTGGCCACTATTCACCATCTTCTGAAATACAGAAAAGATAGCTTTGGGACTGTAGTTTTGAGATCTTCTCAGCAAAGCTACAAAAATGTCTTAATTGGAACTCTCTGGTCTCTCATAGCTTCTTTTGAGGGAAGGCTGCAGTGAGCTCTAGTTAGTCTCTTAGGTATTAGGTCTGAAGAAACTACCTGTGTTCTGTCAAATTTAAGAAATGTATCTGTGAAAATAAGGGAAGTATGAGGTTTAAAAAGAAGTATGTTTTAAAAAGAATATATGTAAAGATCTATGTTAATGTACTTTGATCCCCTTTTTAAGGAATTGTTGAAAGAGTGGGCTGTACCAGTTGTAGGATGTCCTTAAAAGGCACTCTGATAGGAGCACAAAGAGCAAAAGTGGATCTGAACGCTTTTGGCTGCTGCACAGGAACAAGGAGGCGAGTCTGATGACAAGATGAGCAGGAAGCAACTGAAGGCGAGGACAGCAGTATTAAAATGTCCTGGTCTTGAATTCTTTCATTCATTGAGTTAACATTTTTGCCAGTCAAACACTTTTTTTCCCTTTCTTCCCCCTTCCTCCCCCCCCCCCCCTTTTTTTACGTCTTCAAGGATTTTCTGTCTTTACTGTGTAATTACTTTTCTGTGTAATTTCTTTTAAAAACCCTTGTGTACTGCAGCTTTCTACTGCTGCATAAATCTTCCAGTGTATTTCCAAATGAGATTTGCCTTCTGAGGTTTTCTCTGAAGTTTAATAAAAATAATGAAGTCAACTCTTGATCTACATGCTGAACATCGGACTTGCAACTTGAATAGGCAGTTCCTTTCTTCACTATGGTACTACAGACTACATGGCCTACTGTGTCACTGACTGCAGACCCTGCTCTGGTTCAGATTTTAACTCGCTTACCAGCCCCTAAGATAACATTGCTAAACCAGAACTAGTTAGTTTTAGAGGGAGAAACTGATCTGAGACTTTATTTTACTGCTAGTATTTTAATTTTATCTTGGTTAATGCCTTTTTCTTCATACCCGTGTTTTTACTCCCCAATTTCTGTGGTTAGTTAAGAACTGATGAACTAAATCAGAGGGAAAGAATGTGTCTGCATATGTTTTGGGGCAATCTTAATGCCTTGTAAAACTTGACAAGTTTGTTCATTTTTTCCAAATCTGACAGAAGACAGTATTGACAACAGCATAATTAGCTTTTGTTGAGAGGTCTGTTACTGGTTTTGTGTTCCAGAACATGGACTTTTTTTTTTTACTGTCCTTTCTCTTATTTTTCAGTCAATATAGGTCTAAATATATGGATATTTCTATTTTCCTTCTTCATAGCTTATGTAAAAAGTGGTAAGATACTTTCTTGTAGCTGTTTTTCTGTGGTACAGATCTACTATTTAGAACAACCTTTTTTATGTTGGAAAATAAGTATATTCTGTTGCTGTCCAAGGCTAAAAGCTGTCGTAGCTGAGTATCCTAGTGCTGTTGTCAAATTAACTTTGAAATACTGTCTTTGAAAAGTCACTAGTCCAATGTTCCAACTAGTGGTTTTGTTCTTGCACTTCCTTTACAGTTCACTATTATGGTGGTATCTTCCTTGCCTAAAATATGAAAAATCAAGCAGCTCTTTATTTCTGTATTTGTATACTAATCTGCACTCTTTCCCAAAAGTGGGAAGGATAGCCAGTCTTAAGATGTGAGTATGCTGAAATAGCAGTTCTTTTCCACACAGTCCAAATAACAGGATCTAATCTGGTTATTTTTTCCATTATCTTCAGCTGATCTTAAAAGAACAATTGCTGTTCTTCTAGAGGACATCTTACAACGCCTTGTGAAATTGGAAAACAAAGTTGATTACATCGTTGTGAATGGCTCAGCAACGAATACCACTAATGGAACTAGCAATCAGATGCCAGTAACTTCAAATAGACGTGCAAAACCAGCGAGCAACATTAGATAGCACACAGGGGCACTTTGTGTTGCTACATCTATGATGGGTAATCTTTAAGATAAGCATTTTATCTCTGGCTAGGGCAATGCAGTAGTTGACTCTAAAAGAAGCATAAACTATTCTATTATACAATGTGCTGGCTCTATATAGGTCTAACTTACGTGCATAGGTTTTCAAAGCATAATGTCATTGCCTTTGAGCCATACTTCCGAAGTGATTGTTGTCTTTAAAGATATTTTGATATCACGGTTTGACGTAGTATGCCATTGGATAATAACAATAAATGGAAAGCAACGGGGAACTTAAAGGTAGGTTTCTAAGTATATTTATTTAAGTATAAATAGAACATATCTTTTGGATAGGTGAGCAGTATTGTAGCTTATTCATGTTTTGTGATCTGCATTAAGCTGAGGTAACAGGAAAACACATTGCTAAACAGATGGCAGAAAATGTATATACTTACAGTATTTTGTTATTCATTTACTAAACAATATTGAGGATAGCATTGGCAGTAATATTTAAAAATTGTGACCCAAAGAATGTCTTTATTTGCACTGTTTGTCAGAATAGCTAGAGAGAATTTACTGTATATTTAAGAAAATTAATTATAATGGGAAAGCACCCTAGGTAGTAACACTGTCTAGGTGTATCTTTATGCCAGAGTTAGTGCGGTTAGAATATCAAAAGCAAATCATAATATGTGATACCTTAGATGATAATTTCTTACAAAGATATTTAAGTGTATGTATTTTGTAATTGCAGATAAAACTATTTAAGTGATGGAAATAAGTTTTGGATATGTGAATACTGTTTATTTTTATTCACTGCTGTTTCTCTTGAACCTTTTAGTACCTTGCAATTCATGATGAGTACAGCACACCATCTCCCTAAATTGCTTTTTTCGTTGGGAGTAAAAGCAATGAAAGGAAGCAAGGCATCTCTATACTTAGTACACCCCATGTACTAAGGGTATGTTAGCATGGAGCGCTTGAGAGCTAAGGTGATGTTTGCCTTATGTCTAAGCTAGCCTTACATCAAAGTGAAGTACAGTGCAAATGCACTGTACTTCAAAATGTTACTGAAGTCATATTCAAGAGAAAGTGCCGCTGAGCCTGACTTTTAATATGTGCTGAATGTTTTTTTGTGGGGGGGAGGGTATGTTCAGGGATTTCTGCCAAAAGTGTGCTCTGAGTGGGATTTTTGGGGGTGGGTAAAAATGGAGGTGCTTCAGGTATACCATCTGGAGTTTGGTTTGGGTTTAATTTATCTGCTGACACTTTGGACTGTTATAAAGGAAAATACACTTACAACCTTAGTTAGAATCCAGGTGATTTTTTTTTTCCCCTGTTACATTGTGTGTAAACGTGTACTCACTTCAATGCAGAAAGAGAAAAATAAATTTTTAATTGTACTTGTAAAAGCTCCTGTTTGATTGTTTTTTTGTTGCTGTTTTTTGGACAAAGCCTCTCTGGTTACACATGGTTTAGGCGTTTCTGGACTGGAAAAATCTTACGTCCCTCAAGTTTAGTAGTAGTCTCTCTGGTATTCTTTATTATTCCTGTTTGATCAGTGAATTCTGTTGTTCTTGAGATCCTAATGCTGTGGGACTTTCCTCAGGTTAGAGGTGAGGGAAGAAATGAATTAAAAATTTAGATTTTTTAATGGTAAAGATTCACTTCTGAAAAGTGAAGACCAGTGCTTAACTTCTACTGAACCTGCAAATCTCTACTGACAATGTGAAGGTGGGTTTTTATATCTTATCTGTGCTTTTCATTCCCTGGGTACTTGATTGGTGCCAACCAAAACCTTGATGGAGAGTGTCCCTTTGCACTGTAAACAGTAATATGGGTAGTTCTCTGTGTGTGACTTTTTCTTTTCTTGCAAGGGTATGTGAAATCTTAAAGTTATTAAGGATTATTAAACAAGCATAACAAAAGTTGCAAGGTATTTGTCCCTGTGTGCACACAGAGGTTCTATTCAGGAGTTTTGGAGGCTGCTATACTAGCTTATGTGTAGCTATGTACATAGTAATTCATGGTGCCATTAGCAAATAGTTGCTTCTCTCAGGTTTCAGCAGTACAGTGACTCATTGGAATTAGCTTGTATTTGACAAATATATAGGGAGAACTGTGAACTACCTATAAATTCCATTAATTAATATGGTTCACTGAGTCATAGAAAGGCTTGGGTTGGAATAGACCTTAAAGCTCATCCAGTTCCAACTCCCTGCCATGGGCAGGGACACCTTCCACTCTAGAGCAGGTTGCTCAAAGCCCCATTCAAAGCCTTGAACGCTGCCAGGGATGGGGCAGCCACAGCTTCTCTGGGTACCCTGTGCCAGTGCCTCAGCACCTCACAGGAAAAAATTTCTTCCTAATGTCTCATCTAAATCTTCTCTCTTTCAGTTTAGAACCATTACTCCTTGCCATATTGTTACATGTCCTTGTAAAAAATCCCTTTCCAGCTTTTCTGTAGGCCCCCTTCAGGCACTGGAAGCTGCTGTAAAGTCTCTGGGGGCCATCTCCAGATTGAGCAAGCTGAACTCTCTCAGCCTGTCTTCATAGCAGAGATGCTCCAGCCCTCTGATCACCTTCGTGGCCTCTTCTGGTCGTGCTCCAATATGTGCACATCCTTCTTGCACTGTGGGCCCCAAAGCTGAAGGCAGTACTGCAGGTGGGACATCAGTGCAGTGTAGAGGGGAGAATCACCCCTTTTGACCTGTGTGTCTTGCTTCTTTTGATGCAGCCCAGGATATGGTTGGCTTTCTGGGCTGTAAATGACCATGGCCAGCTCATGTTGAGCTTTTCATCAGCCAACACCAGTATTAAGAAAGCAACAATTCGTTGCACATGAAAAACATTACAAAAGTTTAAATAATTTTTTAGCTGCTATGAAAAAAAACCTCTCCCATTTTGCTCTTGCTTTTGAGAAAGGCATACTATCAGATGTATTAAATTGAACCCCACAGACAGCAGACTGCATTACTTTGTAAAGCACAAAATAATGACAGGACAAAATCATTAGGTAAGGAGGGTCCTATCTGGATTAACTGTTAAAGGTGTCAACTGACACTCTACATCACCTTTACAAAATACCACACCAGTTAAATAAGAATGTTTTAGATGTTTATTTCATTCTGTTAATCAGAATATTAACAAACTTGTAGAGGTTCCCAAATTTAATTTTCTTCTGCATTCCCATGAAGAAAGGCTGCAACAGCAGCAATTACCCTCAGAATACATATTTGCACAGGAGGCACTTGGTCACTTAGGCAATTTCCACACATCAGAGATTATGCAGCCTGCATTAGCAAATATTCTTAATTACAATTTAGATCTATCTAGCCAGCTTCTTTAAATGGCTGTGCTAATGAAAAACAAGTATTTGGCAGTTACTTGGAAGAATAGAGAGCTCTGCAATATGTTGGACATATTGCTGGATGCCAATGGGAAACACAGCTGGGAAAATTCAAGTCTCGCAATTTACTGTAAGATGTCAAGAACTAAACTGAAACAAATACCTCCTGCAACCCTCAGATCAGGAGTCCTTTATATTAGGGAGGTTGTATGTTCCCTTGCCCTCTAAAGAAAAAGGAAGTAAAATCAAAACCAACTATCCCCAATCCGGCCTAAGAACCAACCAACCCTAAGGAGATTCTGTAATTCACAAAACTTGAAGCAGGTCACTTTGAGGGGATCTGTGCTATCATCTGAAATGGGAAATACGTAGGTGCATCATAGGAACTGTAAGCACAAATACAGTTTAAATATTCTTAAAAAAAAAAAAAAAATATTTGGCAACACAACCAAAAGCATTTCAGATGTGAGGTGAGTTATAGGGTTCTCTGCCTTCCTTTTGGCAAGCCCTTGGGTTCTTCACACAACCTCCTGCAACTGTAGAGCTCTCATACCTCTCAAAATATCCCTATAAAGAAGGCAACAAGGTAGAACATGCAGATGTTTTCTTGCTACTGCTGTTTATAGAAAAGGCAGCTGAGACCCTCTCCTTATCCCTTCCTTGTCCTTTTTTCTTTAGCCTGCACACCTGCAGTCTAGTTTTGCCATTCTGAAAAGTGCTGTCATCTCAGCAGAATGGATGAAGCTCAGCTTCCACTCTCTGTGCTGCTCGAGCACAGATGTCATGGATGTAGCTGGTGAAAGAAGTCAGAGGCTATACAGCACAGAAAAACTGGCCACAAATGTTGGGGCAAGATGTATCATGGACACTGACATACATATTGCTGTATCAATCCCTGATAACGCTGGTTTCGTGTAAAACTAGAGGTAGCATACTATTAGAGTATCTTTAACTTGCTGCCTGATGAACAGTTTTACAAGCTGTTGGTTGAGGAGAACAAACCATTTATGATATTTCACTGCATCTCAGTTTGTCTGGGATAATGCACTTGTGCATTTGTATCTGTTTAAAAATATCATTTAGGTTATAAAAATGAAGCCCAAGTTAAAGAAAAAAATTCACATCACATGCACACATGAAATCCTAAACATCAGCGGCATCACATCCTACTGTATTGTCTTACCTGTAAGCGATCTTAATTACTACAAATTTCCCAGGATGTTTGTCAGTACCTCCAGCAATTAATTGACCTTTGCTTGCATATGAGCTTACATATCCCCTGTGGCATTCATCAACTTACTCTGTTTGGTAGATGTCTAATCATGTTCTGTCTCTCTGATAGGAAAACTGAAGAGAAGCATGCTGACATTTTGAAATGCCTATAAACTAGAGTTAACAATACAAAACCTGGTTTTTATTGTAGCATAATGTATGGTCATGGCTAGAAGTTTGTGAGTACTTCTTGCATTTGCCTTTATCAGAATATTGGTAGCAAACACAGGAGGAGGAAACAATTTGATGGAAACTGTTTCCATTATTCTTTATGCCACTTCATTCTCAGAATAGCTACTGAGAGACCAGATGCATAGAAACAGGATTACTAACTGCTACTCCAGAATAACTACTACTTCAGAATGATGACTCGAGGTCTAAAATATTAAATCAGTTGTTTCTGAATTATTTATTATTGCATTAATAAAGCAGCTCTCTTCCATTTACATAGGTATTTCACCGACATGAATTTTAAAACACTTGTCAAACTTGTAAGGATTTTAAAAAATGTAAAGGGTCACACATTTTATTGTTAACAGAGTGTTGAGAGAGGCTGTCAACACCCTACACGGCATTAAGCTGTTGCTTTGATGTGTAGGCAGCACCTTAGGTCTCAGAGAGCTGTACTGTAAGTGGAGGTCCATATGTTCAACCCATTTTGATGTGTTCAGAGATCTTGGGCCAGCAGCATCCGTATGCTACATCAGCCATAGGAGGTAAAACATGCCATCTGGGTTTCTGTTCCTTCTACTTACCTTGTGCCATGGTCTCTTCACAATAGCAGAATGCATTTTCTTTCTTCTTCTATTCGAAATTATTTGACAGTTTACCATGAAAAACCTGGTTTGATTCACTCTTTAATGAATTTTATCTCAGGTGTCCATTAACAATCTCTTAGAAGGGATGAGAGACAGGAAAGGGCTTCCTGAGTCCAGCATGTGTTCTAATACCCATGCTATGACAGTAAACCAGCAGGTGCTTGAAATACCTTTATTACCTAAGAACTATTTCTTAAAGTCTTACCTTTTATATCTGTTCCCAAGTAAGCCTGTGAGCACAAATTCAAATCCAAGCAGATGCTGGGGTGCTAATAAGCTGCATGCAGTCTCTTTATTGCAGGAAACAACTTGCTGTGATCAAATCTAGGAATAAAGGCTCTATTTTTAAGATGGGAGGTGGTTCCTAGGACAGGTGCCTGTCAAAAAGCCGCTTTCATTTTCCTACTGTTACTACCTTCTCACTGGCTGTTCACCGGCTTTTTGATACTAAAGTACAATACAGACCAACATTTGTAGCTCTCACTAGAAGCTGCTTTATTCAGAAACCTGGCTCTGCTCTCCAAAACAGAACTGTGTCTCAGAGCACTGCTTTTAAGAGAAATCTTGCACAGATGAGGTACATCAATGGATGACATAGGAGCTCTGCTCATTGTCTGTGAACCCGGAGTGCCAGAGCTCTCCCCCCGCACCTTATTGGCAGTACTGGGATCTCTGGCACCAGTGTGATGTGCATACAGATAAGGTGTCTGGAAGCTCTTCAGTTTTGTGTAGCTCCTGTGCAGCAGTGTGTTCCTCACTCAGTATGTTTGACTTCCCTGTCTACAGAGCTGCTGCTCCTGCTTTCGAGGCCCCCTTTCCCCACCTGTTTCTTTTTTGAAGCTTTGGGGGAATGTGAAGCCACAGGAGCAGTTTTCCCTGGAGAAACAATCCCGACTTCCTTGTGTGGTTTTATTTTCCTCAGCTTGCTTGCTTGCAGACACATTGACTGCAGCGATGACTTGCTCCCACATCTTTTCTGCCTGTACGGGGACCTGTTTGTGCTCATATCTCAGTGTGACAGAACGTACATCCTGCATCGCCCTGCTGACATTTCATACATGCGGCATAGCCACAGGACAAATGCCCAGACCATATGCCCTATCCTTATTTTGATACTGCTGGGAACCCGAGTCTCCTTGTTGTTTCATCTCTCTCTGGGGAATGTTTTGGCAAAACATTGCCTGGGTCCTTGTGCTCTTTGCACCTTCTGCTCCACTGCTGGTGGCTTGCCTGGTGCAAAACGATCTGGAGGCTTCCTTGACTGCTGTGCCTTTTTGACAGGCACCTGTCATTTGACTGTATGTGAAAAGCCTGCCTACCCTCTTGGAGCTCATAAAGCTTGTGGCTTATGCCAACAATGCAAAGCGCAGTTTAAATGCCAATTTCCTAAAGCTCAGTTAAGACCAACACACTACTTTAGCTCACATGTTCAGTCACTATGTGACCAACATGTTTGTATCAAGAGGAAGCAGTCGATTTACACAGCGCAGCACCAGAAACAGCAGCCTGTGGTCTATTTACTACAGCCTTCAAACACATTGGAGTTATTTTAACAAGGTGCCATTGTTCGTGGCATACGGACCGGAACTGGGAATTGCAGGTTGCCAGTCTACGAAGCTGCGCAAAGTCCGCCTCCTTTTGTGCTGAGCTACCAACAAACCGGTGCCCGCGCCCCGGCTCTGCAGTCCAGGAGGGCCGCGGAGGGTCACCGCCATCCACGCCGGGGCCGTTGTGCCGTTGTGCCGCTCTACGCGGGCACAAGCCTCCGGGGACACGGCCGCCCCTCAGCCGCCGGCCTGCCGTGCTGACGGGGGGCGGGCACTCACCTGCTGCGGACCGCCGCCGCCGCAGCCGTTCTCACCCCGGCCTCTCCCCGCGGGCGGCCCCATGGAGCGGCTGCGGGTGGACGCGGCGGCCCTGGACGAGTACGCGGAGTACCGGCGGTGAGGGAAGGGCCGGGCCGGAGGGGACACGGGCGGCGCGGCGGGGGTCGCTGGGGAGGAGGCCGGGTGCCTGCATCCCGGCCGTGGGGACAGGCGACGGCCGCAGCCCGCCCGCGGGCCGCGTTTCTCCTAAGCCGTTCCTGGCGGGCTCGTTGTGTCCCTCCCTCCGTGCTTCGCCATGCACTGGCGAAATCGGGAGTGCCGTGACTGGCTCCGTGAAGGTGGCGAGAGCCGCTCTCCGCGGGGAGGGAGCATCCCTTCCTGGGCTGCAGCAGCTGCGCTGGAGAGGCCTCAGCCACTTGCACCCCGCACCTCCCTGGTGTGAAGACGTGCTGTGAATGTGGCTGTCTGCGAGCACAGGAATGCGTCGTGTCCCCCGTCCAGGACTACGTACCTGCGGTCCTGACAGTGTGCTGTGAGGTGTGGAGAAAGGGGCTGTCTGACAGCTGTACCTCTCCTTCAGGAAACAGGGACTCCATGCACCTGGATGAAGCTTTGCAGCGTTATAAACATGTGCCCTTGCACTCCTGCGTGTGTCTTTGCTCATCTTGTCATTCGTCTTGAGTTGAGCAAAGTGGTAAGACAAGGGGCAGTGGGTTCAAACTTAAACAGGGGAGGTTTAGGTTGGATATAAGGAAGCAGTCCTTTGCTATGAGAGTGCTGAGGCACTGGCACAGGCTTCCCAGAGAAGCTGTGTCTGCCCCATCCCTGGCAGTGTTCAAGGCCAGGTTGGACACAGGGGCTTGAAGCAACCTGCTCTAGTGAAAGGTGTCCCTGTCCACGGCAGGGGGTTGGAATGGGATGAGCTTTAAGGTCTCTTCCAACCCAAACCATTCTATGGTTCTAGTGAAATGTGGTCTTAATTTAGCTTACAAAAATCTTGAGTGAAACACTGGAGTGGTATTTCTTCCATAAGTAGTTACACAGTGAATCAGTGGATGTCAGCTGGGTTGACAAGCAAATGACAGTGATGTGTTGGCACATCATTCTGGTGCTGCACAGTACTGGTAATGTACAGACCCACAGAGATACTTAACAAAGGATCATTCCGCATGTTTTAGCACACCCAACAAATAATAACTGAAATATTTGCATGCATTAAAAAACTAAACTTCAGTAAAGTGCTGCAATTAATTCTAAATTGTATTTTGCATTTGTCTTCAATTTGACAATTCTCATAGAATCATAGAATAGTTAGGGCTGGAAAGGACCTTAAGATCATCAAGTTCAAACCCCCCTGCCATGGGCAGGGACACGTCACACTAAACCATGTCACCCAAGGCTCTGTCCAACCTGGCCTTGAACACTGCCAGGGATGGAGCATTCACAACTTCCTTGGGCAACCCATTCCAGTGCCTCCCCACCCTTACAGTAAAGAACTTCTTCCTTATATCCAACCTAAACTTCCCCTGTTTAAGATTTAACCCATTACCCCTTGTCCTATCACTACAGTCCCTAATGAAGAGTCCCTCTCCAGCACCCCTATAGCCCCCCTTCAGATACTGGAAGGCTGCTATGAGGTCTCCACGCAGCCTTCTCTTCTCCAGGCTGAACAGCCCCAACTTTCTCAGCCTGTCTTCATACAGGAGGTGCTCCAGTCCCCTGATCATCCTCGTGGCCCTCCTCTGGACTTGTTCCAACAGTTCCATGTCCTTTTTATGTTGAGGACACCAGAACTGTACACAATACTCCAGGTGAGGTCTCACAAGAGCAGAGTAGAGGGGCAGGATCACCTCCTTCGACCTGCTGGTCACGCTCCTTTTGATGCAGCCCAGGATACGGTTGGCTTTCTGGGCTGTGAGCACACACTGAAGCCGGCTCATGTTCATTTTCTCATCGACAAGCACCCCCAAGTCCTTCTCTGCAGGGCTGCTCTGAATCTCTTCTCTGCCCAACCTGTAGCTGTGCCTGGGATTGCTCTGACCCAGGTGTAGGACCTTGCACTTGGCATGGTTAAACTGCATGAGGTTGGCATCAGCCCACCTCACAAGTGTGTCAAGGTCCTTCTGGATGGCATTCCTTCCCTCCAGCGTATCAACCAAACCACACAGCAAACTTGCTGAGGGTGCACTCAATCCCACTGTCCATGTCACCATCAAAGGCGTTGAAGAAGCCCAGTCCCAACACCAATCCCTGAGTGACACCACTCGTTATTGGTCTCCAAATGGACATTGTCTTCAGTTGTCTCCATAAATCAAGTATTTGGGTGCTGCTCTGGAATTCCAGCTATTCAGTGACCTGAATTTGAGTGTACTGATAGTTTAAACAAATAGGCCTTTGTGAGGTGTAGGATACATCTGTTACCAACTTTCTGTGCAGTAATAGCATGCTCTTCTTGCAAATCAGCAAGCAGCCCACTTGAATGTACTGTTTGTTACTTTCATGGCAGTGTGGCTACCTACATGCAGTTGAGTAATCTTAACTCAGACTAGACTAAGATTAGATAACCTGATAAAAATCTGCAGTAGGGTTAGGTACATATGGGTGAAATGACTTGCAAGAAGCCATTCAAAATGCCTGCAGCAGAGCTGGCTGCTTACACAACCCTTGATGCCCATTGCTTTTTCAGATACATGAAAAGCAGCTTCATAGTTTATTTTTTTTTCCTTAAAGTGCTGATTTTCAGTCTGTCAAAGCAAATTTATTAAAAAAGCATTATTCACAAAATTTCTCTGAAGATCAGCTATAGTTCTGTTAAATGTATATCACTAGAATGGTATTATGGAATATGAAGGTTTTTTGCATTTACGACAGATGTGTTTCTATGTATTATTGAAAAAGTAACTTCAGGAACCTACTTTAATTGTCTTCATTTTGTTATGTGTTTTAATGCATGCTTAAAGAATTGTAGGTGATGATGATGGAGGAAAGCTCTTTACCCCTGAGGAATATGAGGAGTACAATAGAAAAGTTGGGCCAATTCGGTTACGGAACAGGCTGTACGTGAGCTGGAGATCACCAACTGGCATGGACTGTAAGCTTGTGGGGCCAGAGACACTGTGCTTTTGTACTCACCGGTAGGTATCTCTTCTGCTTTTTGCACTGTTGTAGTTTTAAAAATCAGGAAAATGTAAAGTATGTCCAGGTGCACTGCAATGCAGTATAAGGAAGCTAATTTAAGGTCTAAGGGTCGAGAAAATTAGGTTTTAAATCATAAGAACTGTTCTTAAATATAAATCTTGCTACATTTTTTTGAGACCAAAATGATTGTTTTAGTCTTCAATAAATTCAGCTTTAAGGCATGAGTTTTTATAGATCAGATTGATTCTGATCAATATCAGAATTCTGATCTATCAAAAAGAAACCTAAAGATCTGTTCTATTTATGTAATGAATGGACGTAAAAGCACCTGATATTATACCTTTAATCGAAAAGTAACAATTAACAGCAATAATAAAAATCAAGATATTTCAAAACAGAACTTAAAAGATAAATTATAAGCCCGTCAGTTAGTTTTCTGCTAAATATTAACACAGTTATAAAAGTTATTTTTAACTGTTTCAGGTATAAACAACACAAAACGGACTATGAAGTGATTCCTGAAGACCGTCCTATTTATGTGCCTTGCAGAGTGAGCCGCTGTCCATGCCAGTCCTACCACTACGTCCCTGTAAATGGCACACAGCCCATCCGTTGCAGATGCAAACACTTTGCTGACCAGCACAGTGCAGCACCTGGACATTCATGTAACTCTTGTAAGTTACTGATGGGCTCGCAGTGTCCTTTGTGAGGAAACTTAACAGGAACAGCGTTAGGGATCTGTATTCTGCTCACGGAGTATTAAGTATGCACTGCACTTGTCAGTGACGGAAGGATGTGAGATGGGAAGAAAGACATCGCCTTTTGCACAGGAGGGTTTAGAACAACATCCTTAGCTCTCCTAACTCCTGTGAAGGAGTGTGTCTGAATGATTCAGTTAGGTACAAATGGAGACAGCCAACTAAAATCAGGCAGTATGAAAGCGTCCCATTTGCAGTTTGTCACTTCCACTGCTTCAGGCACATGACGTTTTTTTACTTGAACTTGGTGGTTTGAGAGAGTGAAGTGTTGATCCCCATTCCTCTGTTGCCTGGTTGAATATAATGTTAATGTATTTTTATGTCTTTTCTCAACCCAATAGGAAGCAGTGCTCTGTTGTCAAATAGTACTATTGTTAGCACTCTAACAAAGCAGTTTCTGAGCACACTGTGGGTCTAGAAATGTAAATTGGAATGGAGTTTCAAGAAAAAGGTTTGAGAAGGCATTAAGAGGAAACTTTTTGCTTCAGTTGTTCAAGCTGTTATAATGAAATAGCAGTAATTATTAACTATAAAAAATAATGCATAAAGATGTTTTAGTTTGAAACCTCAAATTATGTAAATGGAAGATTTTGTTTTTTTTCTATAGTTCATAGAATCTTAGAATGGTTTGGGTTGGACGAGACCCTAAAGCTCATCCAGTTCCACCCCCTGCCATGGTCAGGGACACCTTCCACTAGACTAGGTTGCCCAAAGCCCCGTCCAGCTTAGCCTTCAATACTGGTAGTAAATTTATTTCATGAAGTGTGTCTAATTTGTACAGGAAAGATTGTAAACAGCTTCTGCTGGATGAAAATCACATCCCACAGAATTAAAACATTAAATATTTATATGACAGCCTTTCAGGAATTTGCTCTAAGTAATGTGCAAGTCTTAAATGCGCAGTTGGATGATTCAGACTGAATCTGTAAACACAGCGTGTCTAATAATAATTAAATCACTACATGAGGAAGAACTTCTTTCCTGTGAGGGTGACTAAGCACTGGAATAGGTTGCTCAGAGAGGCTCTGGAGTCTCCTTCCCTGGTGATAGTCAAGAGTCATCTGGATGCAATCCTGAGCCAGTGTGCTGTAGGTGACCCTGCTTGAGCAGGAGGGCTGGACTAGATGACCCTTGGTTGTTCCTTCCAACCTCAATAATTCTGTGATTTCTGTGATTGACATTATGCACTTTTTCTAGTGTTTCTCAAAAATACTGGGCACTTCTGAGGGCTTAACAGATTAAACAGAGAAGTGTCAAAACTTCCATTTTGGGCTTGTGTTGATTTAATGTACTGGTATTAGTCTAGCTCAGTGTTGTATAAATCTAACATGAAATGAAAATTATAACTGAAAAAAAATACTGCTGTTGCCCTTTATATCTGTATCCAAACACAGAGTAAGAGCTCTCTTACTGAGGAGTGCCCAGAATTATGTGAAAAAGCTTTTCAACATTCCAAAATGTGATCCTTGAACATACTACACAAGACTTAAAAAATCTTAGTTGGTGCTCTGCAAAATGAACTGTAATGGGGAATTGGAAGCAGGGTAATTTGTATAATGAAATGTGCAAAAATCAGTTCATCAATTTCTTGTTCACAACATTGCTTCAGCAGGGCTTTTATGACAGTCTTACCTGTAGCTAGGGTAGATACCTCACTTCACTCTGTGTTTCTGAATGTCACATGTGACTTGTACAGCTATTTCAGTTACATCCTGTGGCTTAAAAAAACCCCAAAAGACAGTCTAATGGTACTCTTCCTTAGAAACCATTTTGCTACTGCCACAGCCTCTGTTTACTGCCGAGATGATTTTTCTAATTGCAAAAGGCATTTAAATTGTGGTTTGTATCATAAATTGTGATGTGAAGTTTTCTGTCCATGCAACATTGACACGTGCCATACACCTCTGGAAATAACACTGCCAGAATGCTGGCAGGTTGGTTGCTTCACCCAGTGACAGAAATTTTGTTCTTTTCATCTTTTGCCAGGGGAGGGACAGAGAAGGGTGTTACTGATGGCAGTGGACATAAGTCACAGCATGGGAAATACAATAGATACTAGGAAATAGATGTCTGCTTCAAAGGAAAAACAATGTTGATTCAAGCTGCTCTGAGAGGTGTAATCTGCATCCTCGAAGGTACTCAAAACTGGACTGAACAAGACCCTGAGACTAGACAACCCCTATGATCTAATCCCCACATTTTCATATAGCTGGACGCTTTTGCAGTGAAAGAACTCTAGTTTTTGACAAGCTGTTTTGTCTGAAGTGAGGTATAAATTACAGTTGTATTTTTGTTAATCAGGTTCCAAGTGTTTGGGCTTTCGTAGTTGCTTTACCTGTGCATGTGGTGAGCCAACATATGCTCATGAAACAGTCGTGGAAACTAAAGAAGAACGCTTAGCTCAAGGAAAGCCTGTGGGCCAGGATGTTCCTTATGCTGCCATGGGAGGACTGACTGGTTTTAGTTCACTAGCAGAAGGCTACATGAGACTTGACAACAGTGGTGTAGGTAAGTGCAACTGACCAACTAAGTTGTTTGAAAAGTAGTAATTCGACATAGTTTTTCAAAGTTCAAAAGCAAACTGCATCAATAGGAGTAGGACTTAAGAAAGATTTTTCTTCTTCTGTAACAGTCCTTAAGTGTGAAGAGATCACTGTGGCCATCTTGTCCAACTTCCTGTAGTGAACTGATAAAATAACTCTTCATCAACAAGTCTGGTGTCCAGCCCAATAGTTTCTGGTTGAAATGAGACACATCTTTTAGAAAGATCTCTGCCACTTCTGTTTTTCTGTTAATACTTCCATGTTATATTTATGTTAGTCCTTTAGCCTGATACTGCCCAGGTATCAGTTATACAGTTATGCCCTTGGTTATACAGTTACAGCATTTTTCCCCCCCAAACACAAAGGTTAATAGCTGTTCACATAGAAAAGGTCATTTGTAGAACTTTTTGACAGGCATGTTAGTTGGCCTCAATATGTGTGCTGCTGTGTGATTTTGTCATTTAGTAATTCTCACATTTTGTCTTAAAGTGCTGTTTTACTTATTATTGCCATGTACTGATTATTTCTTTTTTAAATTCTGGTCTGTTTTACTGAAGTTGCCTGAAGTTTAGAAACTAAAGCAGTGTAGCGGTAATAATAATTAAAGAAACAGGGTTTTTCATTTCTTTTGAAGCCATCCTCTGTTATGCTTTTATTAACTGAAGTTTATGGGGTGTGCACTGAGTGTTGTAGATCTGAATCTGTAGCCTTGTTTTGGCTTGTCATATTCTCGTGAATTTCATTGTTGTTTTCATTCAACTTATTTTCTAACAGGGGCTCCTTCTGATGAACTTTCAGAATCCCCTGTTACCAGCACGGATCATCCATTTCTCAAAGCATTTCAGGGACCTTCTAGTTCTGCTCAAACCATCCCAGAGATAGCAGGTGCTATATTAGTAGGATAATACCGTTTACAAAAAGTATTTAATATAGAATTAATCGGTTTTATTTAAGAGTTGAAGGATGCTTAGAAGTAAAATCAAAGTTGAGTATTGAAACCTTGTTATGTGAAAAGTTGTAGAACATCCACGTAGCTGAGCTGCTTAGAATAACTTTTGTTACTGCTTGTTACTTTTGCCCATGATGAGTTTTTTAACCTTTAATGATTTTTTTCCCTGGAATTTGGTATCTTCCCCTTTAATGGTGCCATTTATTCATTGGATCAGTTTTCTTAAATTTTTCATTCCTGCTGGAAGTTCATCAAATCTGAATGGATCATACATATTCAGCACAATCCTCTGAAATTGCCTTCTGCCAGAAAGTCTTTTCTGCATAGAATTATGGATTGGTTATCCTTATTTTATGTCCTTTATTTAGTTTAAGAATTTAGCAATAAAACTGCTGAACTTCGCCAAGACTATTTATAATAGCTGCTAGCCTAGACTAAACAGGTTACTCTGTGGTCCCGATTGCAGGGTTTTTTTTTACTTGCCTGTAGAGTTGAGTTCTCATTTTAAATCTGTTTTGCCAAATGTAAAATATGACTAATGGAATAGCAAGTATAATGAATGAAAAAGGTGGGGTTTTGGTTTTGTTTTTCAGGTGGTTCTAGTGGCAAAAGGCAAGTTTGTCCTGGAAAGTATACAGAACAAGATGACATGGCTTACTTTGAGAAACGTTATCAAGAACGGGCAAGTTACTACATTTATTGCTTAATTTAGACATGTTTGCACAAGAGAATATCTAAAAAAAGATCAGTGCATGATTTAAGTGGCATATAAATGCATTCTATCGTTCTCTTCCTGAGAAAACACTAGCCACTTAAATTTTTTAATACAATTATGAGAGACTGCAGGATTTCAGATATCAGTCATGTCTGGGATGGCATGTACCTTAACTGGACAGGTGTTTATTCAGGTAGCTCTCCATTACTTTGTGACAAAAAGAAACAGCAAAGCAGACTCACAGAAAGTCCCCTGTGACATGTAGGAATGTGTGTTTGCTGCCTCATTTATTAAACTTTCCGATGTTCTTTTCCATGAGAATATCTGTGTAGTTGGGCTAAATCTGGTGTGTCTTTCATAGATGATCAGAATCACCCCTTAGAGGTGCCTCCTCCACTCAACTGACTGACTTAAATTTAAATGCTCTGCAGTGTAGTTTACTTAGATGCTTGAATACCTGTTCTTTCCCTGCACTGTCTCCTTAGCTCCCCCATCTCAGTTGGAAGTATGTCTTGACTGTTTATGAATTCTTTTGTAAGGCAATATTGCATAATTAACTTCTAAAACCTTAACTGCTGTTATACTTGCTGCTTGCAACACGGCATCTGTTAATGAAAAAGCTGATCTAGCTCTGTGAAATTTTAAATACTTTATTTTGGAAATCATCACAAAATACGGTAGGATGTTAAAAATGCATTATCAGCTTATAGGGGAAAACGAGTTATTAGGAAATTAGGAAACAAGAAATTAGGAAATTGCTATGTTTCTTTGACCCCCAAGATTTTACTTTCTTTGTAAAAGGTAGCAGGAATTTCAGAAACAAGCTCAAGCCTCCAAATATGGAAAAATGTTTTAAAATGAGTTCCTGTGTAGACCAACAGCAGAATTGCTTAGCGGTGAGCTCATCTGTAGACATCCAAATCAGGACTGGGGCTTTCTTCCTTTTGACACTATTACATGAGGAAAAAAAAAAAAGCATTTAAAAAATACTATTTTGTATTTTCTTGCATTTTTGATAGCAACAAGTTATCTTACATTACATGGGATAAAAAAGTCCATGCATGCATTTTACATAATTCTTCTAAATAGAATGTCATTCACTAATTTAACAATACTTGGGAATTGTTGCTTCTAAAACCAACAGAAATATTTGTTTGTATTAATAGTCTTATTACAAAACGGCAGATTTAAATGTATATGTAAATCAGACCACGTTTTAAGAGCCTACTGTATAAGGAAAAACCTTATGAGAGGAAGACATGACCTTGTGGGTCAGTAAGGACTTCCCCTGTGATTTTGTGCATGCTGATTAGTCTAAATATGTCTGTTGCACACCTGTGATAAAGCTTCTTTATGTTTCATTGACATAAATATAAACCCGTGAGCATTTGTGAGGCACATTGGCCTTGAGGGATGCATAAATGCCTAGATTGGCATTATCAGAGATAAAGGCAGTCCTGTTTTGAATAGTGAAGGAGCTGCATAGGTATTGGCAGTGCTGCTTTGTCCTACAGTACAAAAGTAAGCAATGCTAGATTGGGCTAACAAGGATCTGTAGCTCTCTCCACTGCGTATATCACTCTTAAAGTTGTGACTGGATGTGGAGATTTAATATTGCATTACTAGCTGACTTGCAGATTAGTACTTGAACCAATGTTGGTTTCTTTCTTTGTTACAGCTGAAAAAGGAGAAGGCTGCTAAACAGAAACAGAAAAGTGCAGTGCCATCAAAGAAGCCATAAGTTTAATAAAGAACTATTTATTATATACCACAGTATTAATCATTGCATTGAAGAGTATTTTTTACTGTGCCTACCTGCATACTTTATTTCTTAATTTCTTTATTCTGATGGTTTGTTCTATTGCTGAAATGAATTTTTTATTATCATGTTGCAGTAAAATTGGTACTTTAATCAATACACTTCTAATCTCCAGAATTATTACATAGATATTCCTTTGAGAACGGAAAATCATATTTAGAGATTTACAGAACTGTTATTGAAGATCTGAGAGAATAATCATGTATTTAAGTATAATGTTGTAGTAGGGCAAAGAAAATATGCCTTATTCTTAAACTTCTATAACACACTTTATTTGTAGAGTCCTTAGAACTCGTCTCATTCATGAATTTTTATTTGGTGAAATTTGTTCTGTTTATATTAACATTTTAATTTTATTTAAATACTTTTTTTCCTATTGGTTTCATTGCCTTCACATAAAATTCAAACATAGCCTTCTTTTCTCAGGCTTCTCTAGGCTCTGTTCTTGCCAATGTATAAATATTTTTTACATGTGAAGTTCTGTATGCTTGTAAACCCATTTCCACATGTGCTTAGTGGCTACTTGAAGGGATGCTGCTTTCTGTAGCATGATGTCCATAACAATGATTCTATTACACTAAACTTCTGAAAACATTAAATGGAAATGGATATACTATTTATTGCCTGTAAACAAATAATTATATAGTGTTTGGTACAAACACTTATACAACAGATAAAACATACCAAGAAGGGAGATGAGCTTGGGTTTGGTTTTTTTTTTTGGTCTATATTCTCAGCTGTGGCAGCATATGTTGTATTAAAGGTAGTGCACAGGAAAATGTAATATTTGGTAACTTTGTGTGGTGGTTTAAATCTGAAGCACTACAGCAAGAACTTGGTACAGAATAACTGGCAGAGGCTGCAGTTTAGGAGGCAAAAGCAGAGTCTGAAATCACTTTGCTAGTCTCCTTTAAAAAGAGAGCTGTAAGTCAGTTTGTCATTAAAAATACTTGAAGATGTGTGTTGGACTGAATATTTTACAGGTGATATGCGTGTACTGAGACATTACAGCCAGAGCTGGGAATAGCTTGCAAAGCTCTGATACCCATCAGAGAGAATGCTTCTGTGTGCCTGATGCCTGTATGTGCTTGATGGGCAGTGGAAAAGAGGTGAGATTGGAGGCATGTCATGCAGGACAGCTTGCCTTTTGTTCAGACACCACCTGTTGTAGGGAAAGAGAGTTCTTAGGAGTGCATGCAGGTCGTACAGTGACTGATGGAGATGGCTGAAGTTCGAGTGAAGAGGGAATGGAAGGCTCAGTTGCCCAAAATGACAGATGAAAAAATGCCATTTACCATAACTCTAACCTATGCTGCCATTACTCCAGATGCTGATCAGAGAGGTTAATCCATTACTTCAATTTAAATGCATAATATATCAGAGTGACTAATTAATGTTTTAGAAGTACCTTCACCTTTACATTCTACACTGTTCCATGCTGCTTTACCTTAATCAATAAAAACGTTAATTTGAGCTCCCTCTTCTGGTCCCAATAAGCAATAATTTCTACAGATCCTCTACTGGATCTTGTAAGTAAATGGGGTTTCACAGTAGAATTACAAGAAACAACAAATGTAAAAACAATTGGTAAACAAATGGTAAATAAATATATAGAAAAACCATTTCAGTCGTCGGATAGATTAGTACAAGCTTAATAGCAGAAGCTTATTCCACTTCAGTATTTATCCCCGTGGCTGTGCCCACTAGGGAATGCAGTTCCAGAAATGCGTGTATTTCAGAGATGAGGTTTCTCACAGCAAAATATTGTTATAGAGGGAGGTTTTAATAGTTACAAAAACATTGTATTTTGTGTTTCTATGCTGATAACATTTTAAGAAATACTGTATTGTGCTTTTATTGACATTTTAAGGTAAATACAGTTGACGGTTTTAAATGACCACTCTACCAAATTCAATCGTAAGTACTTCTATATTAAACTTTACTTTGACCATGGTAAACTGGTTTTAACAAAGTAAATTTTCAAAGATTTTATTCTGTGCTTAAACTTAACTAATATTTCCACTTAAATGATATGAGAAAGTTACTACATTTATTTCACTATATTTGTTTTCAGTTGGAAAACAGGTGGAATCATAAAACTATCAACTGCATTAACTACTGCTTGGGAGTTCTTACCACTTCTCACCCATGTTGATGTCCAAGTAAAAGAAACTCACTTTCCTTACTAAAAGACACACTTTTGACTTCTTCATATTCATGTAGGACTTTTCCCCAGAATTTTTATATATACATGAAAAAACAGGTACAATTTATCTCATAATGTTGCTGGCTGCAAAAACTGGACACTAATGTCATGTCTTAAGTGAAATTTGCACCTACCTGGACTTACTGTTATTTTTTAGCCTAAAAAAAAAAAAAATCACAATTTTGTAGGATCAAAATTGCAACCTTCAATTCTATTCAGAAATCTCTCTCTGTTTTCTAAAGATGAATATTTCTGTAAAGGTAAAAGCAGAGACCACATGCTGTTATGCTTGCTATTAACATTGGGTTTATTTTCCTGAGAGCAGTCACGAACTTTGAACACAGTATCACAGGACAGATGAATTACTGGTTTATCTGTATGATTTATTGATGGGTGTGTATCTGTCATTCAGCTAGGCACATTAACCGTTTCTGACCCTAATCCAAGGAATCTGGCACAGGGGAAATGGTTTATTGTCATACAACTGGAGTACTCCTAGCTGTTAAAGCCTAATTGCATAGGTCCCAGGCAAGGTGCTAAGCACTTCTCATGTTTTAAGTAGCCGGCCTGCAAATTGATGTTTTGCCATTGCTGTAACACTCCTAGAGTATGGAAAAGCATCTTTTCATTGCTCGTCCTATGAAATGGCTTTGATGTACCTTGGCTATTATAGCACAGATTGGTCAGTGATCCCAAGTGGAGGGCAAGCGGCTCCTTCGCATTCTGTGCTTTTCTGATACTAAATCCAGAATGTGTCTGCCTGTCTCAGGTTTGGGAGGAAGGGGAATGCGATGTGTGAAGCCACATCCAGCAATGGCATCCATGCAGAATTACTTTGTCAAGTTGTCAGTGTCTTTACAGTGCGCTGTGCATATTAAATGGTTTGCAGGTCTTGTGTCTGCGTGTCCCTGGGGCCTCTAGCTGTGGTTTTGCTGTGGCTATGCAGCCTAAGAGATGACTTTGCAGGTAGCAATAGTGTTTTTTCTTAGCATGAATATAATTGAAAACAACAACATGGGTTTACCAGTGTGAAAGGCCTTGCACAGGTGTACCTGTTTGTTTTTTTCCATAATAAAAGATACTAATTTTGTCCATAAGCCTACTCTTGCTTTGGAGCCCTTGGCATTTGTCTTCAAGTGGAGCTGATCATTATTTGCTTTACACTGGTTTTAGCACTGATTTTACATTTGCTGGTGGGCCTCAGCTGGGCATAAAGTCCATGCACTACTTCACGTGCCTCCTTGAGGGACTCAACCATAACACATCACCTGTGTAACACCAGCACCTGAAACTCAAGGGTGCCTCCGCAGTTTTCATTCACACCAAAATCTGAGCACGGACACGTCAAGCAAAGGCAACCAGCTGAGCACGTTCAAAGGGTACATGGAAGCCAGAGCAGAGAGTGTCGAGGACACAAAAGCTTCCTTCCTGCTTCAGAGCCGCACACCCCGTGTGGTGAAGGACGCATGCAGGCCCAGTTACGGAATGGGGGAAAAGCCCAGCGCCTATAAGACCCAAAGCGCGCCCAGCGTAAAGGGTCGATGCAGTCGAGGCTCGGCTTCTCCGCCGTGCGGGACGCCGGGAGCAGCGGCTCCTCCACCCCGCAGGCATGCGCGGGCGCGGCTGGCAGCGGCGGCACTTCCCGCACCCCGCCTGGCAAGCGCTGGTCGGGCCGCGCGGCAGCGCTGAGGCGCCGGGCGGGCGAGGCGGCCGCGGCGGCCGCATGCGCAGAGCCGGCGGCGGGCCCTGGTGGGGGCACGTGCGGCCGCGGCAGGAGCCGTCGGCGGGAGCCTGCGGTGCCGCCTCAGGTAGCGCCGGGCCGCGTCGGGAGCGGGTTGGGGTCGCGGCAGCCGTGCGTTAAAACGCGTTTTCAGCTAAAGAAACGGGCTTCTGTCCGGTGAGAGGAGAAGGGTGAGGGTCAACGTGGGGGGAGGCGGTAGGAGCCTAGTGAGTCCATGGTGTGCTGAGGAGGGTCACCGTGTGGGTGCGTGTTCCTCCGCGGCCCTCGGGGGGAACGCCGCTGCTCTCTAACTACAAATCCCTTGTCCTGTTTCAGAGTCCGTTGTTATGGACGGAGACAAGGAGCATGACAAAGGTACTGCGAGGTGGTGTTTAAAACAAACACATGAATAATCTTATATTGGAGAATAATGGACTTCGTTGTGTTTTTTTCTTTCCCTTCCCTGCAGTTGTGGAACATGTTGTGGGCACCCACGTTGAAGATGCAGTAACATTTTGGGCACAGGTGAATTCAAAGAACTGTTTGATTTTAACTGAGGTGTTTCATTGCCTCCTTCCTTCCCCTAGAAGTTTTTATGAAAGTGAGAGTAAGTGGTACCATTTCACATTGGAAAACACTTAATTTAGATTTCAGAATTTCTAGTGTTACTGTTCCCTTTTAAGCTGAAATAAGTTTTCTTCTGTGAAATGTCGAAAATAGTTTCCCATCCGTTTGAGTGGTTTTCATGGTTAGGGACAAAAATACAAATGTAGGGTTGAACTATCTGCTGTTGTCATTAGGATGTGGTAGGAGGCAGCTGAAGCCCTGCTGGGGGTATACAACCCCCTGTTCCAGCTGAGCATTCGGGACAGTTTCAATGAAGCCTGATGAGGGGGTGGCTCAGAGGTGCTAGGGCCTTTAAAGTTTGGTGTAGATGGGCGGGAGGGTGTTGGATGAGGGGAGTGAAGGAAAGGAAGAAACCCAAATCGATGTTTTTTATTAATGTGGGGGTGCAGCAGGGAGAGGGGGAAATCCAGAGTGAGTACCAAAGCTTGCCTTTCCTATTTGGGCTGCTGGCTAATTGGGGGGTGTGTGTTAGTCAACACTGTGTGCCTGTGAGCCAGCTGGTGGAGTAATGTTGCTTGTTATATCCCTAATAGAAACTTGGGGGGGTGTTCTGTTAATGGAATACCATATTCTAATAAAGGGATTTTTAGATGTTGTAGCCATAGGTTATTCTCCTTTAGGTTCTTACCCTAGCATTCTGAGACTTGATCACAGGGCTTTAATTTTGTGAAGTACAAAAGTTAGCAGTGTACTTTTAGTGTTAACAAAATGCTCAGTTGCACCGGTGGGTGTTTTCCTGCTCTGATTTGCATGTAGAATGTTGTTTAGTAAATGCTGCGTTACTGGAACTGACCCAGTTTTACAGTGTTCCAGATACTAAGTTGTAAGTGGAAAGAGACTGCTTGCTCTCACGCAAGCCAAAACCCA